TAGCATCATGAACACTGAATGTGTCACACAGGACAGCATCTCTGTGCTGGTTTGGCTCTGCCTCATGGAAGGAAGCAGAAGCCACGCCTCTCTCTGAAGGTTGAAGCTGGGAGAGCAGCCAGTGCACTGGATTCATTTTTTCCACGAAACGCAGAAGACACAATCCAGCCTGAAGGAAGTAGTTAGATTATAAAACTACTCCTCTAACTGAGACAGTTGTAAGAATGCAATAAAAAGGTTCAACAGTTCCCAGGCATTAGGAACTAAAACTGCATTGCCTTTCCACGCCTCTCCAAGAATATGCGAAGTCCACACCATGCCCACTTTCCACAGCAGCTTCCAACGTTTCCCTCTTTTGGATTTGCAATTTGGGATCGGATCAGGTGCAGATTCTGTCACAGATCTAAGTTACCTAATATTGCATATTCTCCAGAGGACCCTCTGGAGCTGCTGAAGCATTTTAAAGGATGGCTTTTTCTATGCAAGCTGCTTAGAGATGTTACTGCATAAAGCAGCACACAAGTATTGCTAAAAATGCTTGAGAGATAGTGTGGGGCAGTGGTGGGAGTGCTGAACTGGGACCTGGGGGATCGGGGTTCAAGCCTCTGCTTAGGCATGAACCTCACTGGGTGGCTTGGGGCCAATTACAGACCCTCAAGTCTAACCTGCTTTACAGGGTTCCTGGGTAGCTACAATGGAGCAGAGAAAGGCCAAGCAAGCTGTCTTGGGCTCCTTGGAAGAGGAAAACTGCTTACAACCGCTAAGCTATGATCGGAATAGGAAGTGTGTTGATACAATCCTATGCTTGATTTGGTGTGGGGAGGGGGGGCGGACAGCAGTGCCCTGGGAATTGCAGGCAATTAGTTTCCCCATCTAATCGTGCATAGGACCATGCTCTAAAGGCAGGCCGCTGGAGCTCCGAGGGGTTTGCTCTCACTTCCCCCATCAAAAGGAACAGCTGTGCCGCCCGCTGCCACCCCACACCAGACAATAGTAGCCAGCTTCATCCTCCGCCAGAGCCCCTGTGATGGTCAGAGACAGCGTGTTCCCTGCCCTGGACCCAGAGAAACGGGCGGGAATGCCTGATGGTCTGGTGCTGGAGGTGTGGATCAGCATCCGTGGCACCTGCCCGTCCTTCTGCTGAATCCAGCGAGGGTAATTGTTGTCCCCAATATCTCCAGAGTTGTATCGACAAGACAGGGTGATGGTCCCACTGAGGGGCACGGTGTCCGAGGGCTTCAGGGACTGCAGCTGCTGGAAGCTGGGGCCTGAAAGACAGCAGGGAAACTTTGCGATAGAGCAGCTGGAAACATTTGCAAGCCTGTGGCAGGGTCTAAAGAGCTTCTCAGTAGACAGCCATCCCTTGCCTTTCCCCAGTTCAGTTTTCCTCACCAATGCCGACTAGGAGAACGGTGGGCAAAAGCAGCATCCAGGCCATTGTGGGGAAATGGATAACCTTCCTGGAGTGAGTTGATTTCTGTTTGGCACACTCCAAGCCCTGCTTAAAACCCCAGAGAGCAGGAGACCAGCCCCCTCATGCAAATAGGTTGCATCGCCCCTGGAGCACTGCAGTCGTCTTCTTCAAGCTGCAGGTGTCCCCAGATGGATTGGACCAGGAAGTGCAATCAGGATAGCTTCAGATCAAAGCTGAAGTTTCTCACCCATCCCACTGCTCCTGCTTTAGGCACCGCAGCCAAGAGAAGGGGATGAGCCTGCCACCTACTGGCCCATGGGCTGCACAGCACCTCCTACTGTTTCGTTGGTCTCACTACCCTTTTTAATAGAGGACAGGCAAGCTGAAATTTACCAGATAAAATGTCTTCTGCCATGCACACAAAACATGGGGCCAGATTCTGATATATCTTTATAGGATCCTCTGGGTAGGTCCAGGAGGTTCTTGCCGGGGAGCCCTGCTGGGTCCTCAGCAAATGCCCAGTCATGGCTACTTTTGGCACCTGCCCAGTTATACTCTCCACATGGGGTAGGGGAGACACACCAGCCCGGAAGCTGGTACAGATTATGTCTCTGCCATTGCTTGCAAAAGGAGGAAAATAGTTTGCCACCAAAACAGAACAGGAATTGTTCCTTTTTGGCTTGGAATGAGTCTTTGTACATGCACCAAAGGACTCCTTTTATTTCACTAGACTAGAATGCATAGAGGGCAGGGCAGGCTGAAAGCTAGCTCCCCAGTTATCCAAGTCTGAGCCACAGAAACATTTGCTAATACTAGAGATGTCAAAGAAATTTGCCATGGACTCCAGCAAGTCCAGTTTCCCCCTGCAAGTTTTGCAGCATGCCAGCTTGCCTAGGTTGCACAGGCACCAAAGGGCTCACACGTGGATTTTTTAAATCGAGCATATTTTGGCACAAGTTGTTCTTATGTGCCCAGAGAAAGAACGTCTAGTAGGAGATGGTTTTCAAATGCATTAAAGGTCCTTCATTTTTCATTCAAGGGCAACCCACCGTCCAGAAGCCTCGCAAAGCCCGCTTTTGCAACTCCAGCTGCCGCTCCGACGAGCCAGCTAACAAATGTTGATGATGTTCTGGCAGCAGTGGCAGAAAAAGCCACAATTTCGCCTCAGAATTAAAACAGGCAGTAAGCACAGACCTTCCGGGCATGTGGCTGGTCTTTAAAGCAAGGTACGTGCCCATGGCGGGCCTCACTCTAAAGCGATGTACCAAGCCTCCCACATTTGGAAGCAATCTGGTGGTGCAGTGCAGCGAGCCCACCCCTCTGGGGTCCCATGGGCAAGGACTGTTCCCCCAACCCCCCCAAAGTTCCCCGCCCTGGCTTAGGAGATATGCTGGCTGAATGTCTCCCCCTTCCTCTCGCTTCTACACCTGCTTCGCAGGGCCAGAGTTTTTGTTCCAGTTCAGCTCTGGCTGCACCACAGTGCAGAGCAGGGCTCTGCCATCCTGTGCAGCAATAACCTGCCTGGCCCCTGGCTATGGTTAGCCTTGCAGAAATATCATGCGTCTCTCCAGAGCACTGCCTGAGGACCCCACAAGCCCTTTCTCTGGCTTTGTAGATGGGGCACCAGGATGACTCCCCTGGTTTGGGTGGTACCAGGATGGATCGGTGCTGCTCAGGAACTCCACACAGAATATGGGAGATCGCTACCAGCTTTCTCAAGGCCACCAAAACAGGTCCACTTTGCACCCTGGATGGGAAACCAAGCAAAGGTGAACTCCTTCCCACGAAGGAATGGACCTCCTTGCCCCCAACGAGAGCATTGAGGAGGAGCATGTGCTCAAAAGTGCTTTAGGAGGGGCACAGGAATTCCCCCCCAACCCACCATGCACATCGAGAAACGGAGGTTGCATTGATTGCAAACTTTATGCCAAAGTCACAGACAAGGAGCAGAAGTTCAACGCTTCTAGATTAACCCATCTTAGTGCCTCTCCTGTGGAACAAGCCATGAGGACAAGAAACAGAAAACCAAAGGCCAGAACTGAGATTTTTCAGCCAAGCCCAATTCAGCTGGCCAAATCCCTCCAACGCTTCTCATTTAAACTCTTTTTCAGATCTCAAAAGAGCTCTGTTCAGCAAATCTGTATTTCATGCCCCCTCTAGTGTCCCTTTTGGGGTTGCAAACAGGGAAAACTCGGATGATTTGCAGAATGAAATGTGTATATTCTTATCAAACACTAAGAAACGGGGGAAATGGACCAACAGCTCCCCATAAAGGTGAAAAATGGAACAGCAGCCATCACATAAGTAGGGCCAGGCCTAAACAAAATAAAACCAAATAGAATTGCTTGAGTTTCAGAAATCTAGACTTGCAAGGTCCTATAGAGCCATTGCAAAGAGTTTGCATAACTTACATAGATGCACACACACCATATTTTCCATATATTTACAGTCTGAATTTGTTGTTTCGGATCATCAATCGATCCGTCTTGCAAAAGCACCACTCTTGGTGGAGACCAAAGCTACAAGAGCTGATTTGTGTTGCTGCATTATAAACTGCTCGTTTGCCCAGTACAGATCTTTTCCTCTGCCAAATTCCAATGCTCTTTTGGAGAATCTACAACAGGTAGAATATATGGATTTTGTTAGATCTGCTGTACATTTCACAGAAAAGGTGAAATGAAAAGGTCCGCAAGTCTGTGAAGTCCATGTGACTAGAAAAAAAGATGGTTTGCTGTGGAATGCGCAAGTTGGATTCACCGATATCAAACACACATGTATCCACTGAGGATTTCTCTGGCCTGTTTTTCTGCACCAGCTTCTGCTGTTGACTGGTCACATCCAACTTTTGCAATTTGACCTTGCCGAGGTCCAGCCTCTGCCTGAGCCCGGATGAACTTAACCTGATGCTAATGACCTTCAGTGCCTTACATAACCGGCTGAGATCTAAAATAAGATAGGTCGGGAGTTCTGCACGGAGATGATCGCATTTCTGTCTTATCTTCCCACTGTCTGTGTCTGAGCCATTAGGAAGCTGCGGATTTGCAGAGTGAGGTCTGTTACCAAAGCATTTCTTCTGCAGCAAGCCAGGGCACTGCTAGGGATAAGCTCCTAGCATCGAGGTGGGGAGCCTTTGGCCCATGGGCCAAATCCAGACCTCCAAACCTTAGAATCCACATTTCTGGAGTTTTTCCAGCAAATGCCCCCACAGAGGGGCATTACTATGCACTGGAAAGCTCAGGACCACAAGATACCAAGCTCCATCTGTTGGTGCACATCTATGAACACTTAGAAATAACGACCGAGTTGGACTGAAAGCTTAGAAGAGACAGATAAGTCACTTTTCACCCAAATCGTCCCAACAACAGTGCTTTCTTCAATTAATTTGGGACAAGCCCATGCACAGCAATTCATCCAAGAGGTAGGGAGACACCTTCCATTACCACCAATGGGGACACACGACTCTTTGGAATTGATTTAGAGCTGGAACCTGTGGGTAGAAACAAAGAGACTGTTCGGCTCATTGATTAGATCTGCTTTTAAAGAATTAAATGTGCGCGTGCTCAATCAATGGAAGCGTACAAACAAATCCTACACTAAAATAAACCATCTCCTTTTATTTCACATCTCCTTGTAAGGATTCAAAGTGCTTGCTGCACCCTAAAAGCTCCACAGTGAAGAACTGCAACCAGAATTCTCATTGCTGCTGCATCTACAACTGAGATTAGCACTAAAGAGGTGCATTGGTCTAGCCAGATCCCTGGCTCTCCTTGTCCACTGGTCTCTCCCCATCCAGTCGCCTTGGTTGGTGCCTCCTTCCAGATTCTTCTTATTTTGCTGCACTGGTGCTCAAGTTTCTTCACAAGAGGGAAGCAACACCTGCAAGGAGAAATAATGGCAGGTCTTTTGCAGCTCAGCCAGTGGGTTCCAACGTACTTTCTACTCACAGCTCGAGACAGGACAGAATGAGAGTGGCGTGCATAAGATCAGGTAGCCAGGCATGACCCTCGGAGTCCCCAGGTGGCCTCAGCACTGCCCTCTGCCTGGCCAATGACCTCCACAGATCCTTTGGTGGCTCCCCAGCTTCTGTGACGTCCCCCCCCCCCCATTCAGAAAGGCTGCAGTGTCTTTTCTAAGGTTTAGCAAGTAGCGGGAAGACATTATTGCCTTCATGCCGGCGCTATTGTACTTCTGGCCTCACTCTGTTCACTTCCAGTTCTATCCACGACTGGAGGGCAGCCCCCAACTGCACATCCAAAGCTGAATTTGGTTTCCAGGCCAAAAGAGGTGCCCCACCTCTGCATGACGTAGTGCTGAAGAACCCACTCACGCTGACCTGCCTGAGCTTCTGAAGAGCCCATCGTGGGAACGTGCTTGCAGAGGAGCCCTTGCGCCTCCGTGGGGATGTTCCTGGCACTTCTAATGCCCCACGGCACTGGAAGCCCTTCCCAAGTCACAGCTGTCTTCAGACATGATGGTCCCAACAATGATGAGCAGGAGGACTTGGGATGGTGTGGCCATTTCCCCCAGCAGCTCCAACCCACCACTGTCCATGGAACGTCTCCAGCAGGGAAGCACCAGCCGCAGGTCCATTCAAGACGCCCCATCGGGCTTGGGACCACAAACAGGCAGATGATCCGCCCATGCACTACCATTATCGTAAGGACCTGCTCCAAAGTTAGTTCAGAGCAGGTCAACTAAGCAGAGGACCTTCTTGGTGGTGAATGATCTCCTCAGCGATGCCCACCTGCAGCCAAGGGATCACTACTCTGGCCCTAGGAGAAGCCTTTCTGGTACTTCCATGCATCTGACAGAATAGGATGGGCTTCTTAATTCAATTATCTTATCAGATCCTCTGTAAACAATTCACATTGTTCATATTCCCTTCTGTAAGGCAGTTTGCATCTTTTGCTTAGAAAGCTGTCTAACTGTAATAATAATTCTAAAGGATGCACATTTCAGACACTCCAACCTGGTGCCTTCCCTGCTGGCTGGGGATGCTGGACACTACAGTCGAATGCATCCAATGTTTTTCTGGTGGAACATTTCCTGACTGTTTGAGCAGTACAGCAATGGGACCCGCCACCTCCCTCGGTGGCGGGCTCTCCCACTGAGGCCACAGGATGCAGCCGGACTCCAGGGAGAGCCAGGCTACAGATGCTCCCACTCCGACTCCCATACGCCACACTCACCGTTGCTGTACTTGCACTGCTTCAGGGCCTCGCTGAAGCCCTCGCACAGGGTCAGGTCGCTCTGGTTCATGGCACAGTCCAGGAACTGCTTCATCTCGTAGTGGCAGGGCCCGTACTGGGGCTGCTGCTGGTAAGCGGGAGGCGGCCTGGACTCCTAGAGAGACAGACAGGAAAGGGGCTTGTGGCAGTGGAAATCAACTCGCCTCCCTGAGTAGTGTTTTAACCACAGAAAGCTGACACAGCCTGGGATGGGGAAGGGGACAGTGTTGATATACAGTTCTGTATCTAGATAGATAGAACAGTTCAAAGAATACAAGGACACATTAAAATGGGATATCGATAAAACCCTGGCTCATCAGTCAAGGCAGGCATCCTGGAATAAAGATGTTTTCAGGAGACACTGAAAATACCCCCACCAGTGCTCGTGCCTGCCTGACCTCCAGAGGCAGGGAGTTCCACAGACAGGGGCACCGCTCTGAAGGCTCCTCCAGGTGGGCTCCTTTCGGACCATCAGTCTATACGGAACTACCAGGAACGTGCCGTCCTATGACCTCAGGGACACAGCAGGTTGCTCAAGAAGAAGATGCTCTCTCCGGTACGGGAAGGGATGAAACTCGTCGTCCATCCTGGGTCCTGCCAGATTCCTTTGCCCTTCCTGCAACTCTCAAGGCCCCATCACAGCCCCCTTGACCCGCAGCAACAAAAGGCAGGAGGCCTTTCCTATCACCTGTCCCCCAATAATTTCACCTGGAGATGCCAGAGATGGAACCTTTCGGGGACAGCCACACTATCACGCAGAGCAAAGCAGCCCTCTCAGGTGGACGATACTTGGGGGGGTGGCAGCAGCCCCCCTACCGGGCCATTCCCTTCTGAGAGAGGATAAAATGGTGCACGATCCATAGGGCCTGCCCTTTATCCCCTAACTGTGTTGCCCTGAGGTATGGGGGACACCGTCTTCTTACCACCACTGGAGCAAGACGTAACGCAGCCCTAAATGGAACGGCAGGTCGCTTGTCCCGCTCTTTCGCTCAGGCAGAGAAATATCCAACCAGGGCGTTGTGTGCTTTACAAAACAAACACGACTAATCCATCCGACTCAACCAGCCTTGCATTCAGTGATAAGGCTACGGATACCAGCAGAGCCTCACCTGGCTAGGACTACTCGCTGGTTTTGCCGGCTCCGAGCCGCCTCCTCCGCTGAACGCCCCGGTCAGGGCACCGCCGACCACGTGGCCCACGGCTGAGCCGACGGCCACTCCCGCCGCAGTGGTTGCCATCTGGGCCATCAAGCCAGGCTGCTGGGGCTGAGCCGGGGTGGCCACCGCCGAAGGGGGAGGGTGAGCAGCGGGCTGGGCATGAGATGGTGCCGGACTGTTAGAGAGAGAGAATACACGCAAACTTAAGCAGAGCCCTGTGGGTTCAAACCAAGGATCCATCCGGTGGAAACTTGTGCTCACACAGCAGCCAACAAGTTCCCGACAGGAAGCTCCCGTGCGCACAGTGGTCCCCTCCCAGCCATTGCCCCAGCAACTGGTGCACATAGGCACGCTGCCTCTGAAATTGGAGGCACCATGTCATGAGGACTAGTAGCCGTGGATGGCCACCTCCTCCTCCAGGAATTTGACCTATCCCCTCTTAAAGACATCCAAGCAGGAGGCTGCCTGGTGGAGACTGAACACTGTTGCTTAACTACATGAGAAGGAAAGCAAGATACGGGACCCACATTAGTGCCTCATCAGTGCCAACCATTACACAACCGGGCTTGGAACTTTTTGGCCTTTTCACTTTTAGAGAGCTGCCAGGGAATGGAACCAAATGCAAAACTCCCCATTTGTAGGGTATGTAACACACCTGGACTCAGGAGCTTCCAAGAAGAGCAATATGCTTTGCAATAACAAATCTCCTTTGATCTCCTAAACTTAATTGTTTATTTATCGACCATGCTGTTTCATCAGGCCTCACCTCCTGCAATAAACTCCTCTTGAAGAGACTCAATGAGGTGATAAGTTCCAGTGATGCAGGGGGAGAATAGGAAGGAACAAACACATCCACGGGTCAGCTTAAGGTCAGTGTTGGACTGGGACTCAGGAGGGCCTGGTTCTAGCCCCCCACTCAGCCATGAAGTTCAGTGGGTGACTTTGAGCCAGGCACCGGCTCTCAGCCCAACCTACCTCACAGGGTTGTTGTGAGGATAAAATGGAGGAGAAGGAGGCAGATCATGTACCCAACACCTTGGGCTCCTTGGAAGAAAAGTGGGATGCGAGCATAGCAAGTAACAGAAGCAGAGGCTGTTCCAAGAAGGAGCAAGCACACTACAAAAGCACCTGTTCTTCTCCCACTTCAAAACCCCCTGCAACAGTAAGAAATTTTTAAAAGAAAAAGAAAATCTCAATATTGCTAAAGGGATCTTGCAGTCTGTTAACAGAATAGGCCTTAAGAAAGTCTAAAGGAGTTAAATGTCGTTCTTTTAACCAGTTTCATGGTTTTTAAGACTAGCCATGCCTATTCAGTTTGTTCATCTGCTTGAAACAAGACGCCAGCCACTCCTAATTCCTGAATCCTGTGAGCAAAGCCAAATCTTCACCTGCATCCTCTAATCTAATGCCTGCTCAAGGAATCACAGATGGTTTTACTCTGAACTGGGAGTCATCCCACGCCTCGGCACTGGAGGCAGTGTGGCACAGTGGTGACAAGCCTCATTCCGTGGGATCCCAAGCTGAGTAAAAGGAATGGTGTGGTAAGAGCCACATTCATGGAATGGGAGGAATGCCACCTTCCATGGGCAATGCTTTTGTGTTGCTCTGGCATTTTCTCATCCCCCCCCCCATTTTCCATTCAGTGGGAAAGAAAGGAGAAAAGCACAAAACAGGCACACAGTGCCTTTCAACAGGTAGAAACAGGTGGTGCCAGGGAGCACCCCAAGGGGACTTGGGAGGTCTTGTAAGATGTGACCTTCGGCTAGTCAGCACTTGTAGGTGCAACAGAGTCAAGAGGTTGCTGCAACGGCGGTGGGGCAGAGAACCACAGACAACAGCTTGACCTCTTCCTAGTAAAAGCACAGCACAGGAGAAGCAGTGTGGTGTAGCGGTGAGAGCACTGAACTGGGACTGGGGAAATCTGGGTTCTAGTCCCCACTGGGGCTATGAAGCTCACTGAGGCTCACTAACAGCCAATTTTGTGGAAAATAGAATGGAGAGGACAAGCCACCCTGGATTCCTTGCAAGACGGAAAAAGGCAAGATACATATACCACAATCATAATACACATCCACAAATGTAAAGCCCAAGCCAAGGAAACCTCTGAGCATGCACAGAGAGACTTTCTCCTTCAACCTATCTGGAACAGGACTGGATGGGGCCCGATCCTCGACAGAACGAGAGAGATCAGTCTACAGCTCCTTCTGGAGGATGACCTTGCCATGTCCACTGCTGCTGGCTTATAGGATCACATCCTTACCTGGCCGCCGCCGACCGGCTCCCCACGCTTCTGCTGCCCCTGGGCATGGTGCTCCCGGCTTCCTGACTGCTGATCCCGGCTCGGCGCTGCGGCTGCTTCCTTCCAGAACAGACGCTGCGAGTCTCCTTGAACTCACTTCTTACGCAGCTATGAAGGAAACCACGTGTCCCGAAAGGTTACCTATCAATCAGCCTCAGAACCTCGCTCAGGAGCACGCGCAGTCGCGACCACTGAAGTCGCTGCCCTTTGGATGCCTCCCCTTCTCTGGAGACGGTGCCCACCCAGCCCCCAGGCACATAGAGCTAGGAAAATGAAGAGCAACCCTTTGCAAAAGGCGAGGTGAACAACCGTTTTGTAGTCTTAGCAAACCTATTCCGATTAAAGCTTTCGTCTAGGTGGGTCTATAGCCCCCTTCAGCGGAGTGCACGGCGTAGTACGCAGAGTTCCAGGTTTATATATAGTATATGGCATTGCAGCGTGATGTGAAGGAATTGTAAACAGAGAGGTCAGAATAATAGTAAACGCAATAAACTCGAGTGGTGCTAAAACTGAACAGATCCGAGGCTCAGGCCGACAGACAGCCTAGAAAATTTAAAAAGCAAATGCACGGAAGTTTGTATGAGCCTTTAAAGGATCCTGTCTCCTAATACCCCTGCCATCATAACCCCACATGGCACTGAGAAGTGGAAGGCGACAGGAAGCCTCCACATTATATTTCCAAGTGCACTCATCACGGCTCAACAGAAACGCGTTCTAGCCCTGATGATGTCCAGCCTTGCTTAGGAAAGGCACTCAGAGATGTTACAGTAATCCTGATTCAAGTCACTGGGGTTAATTAAACCGCCTGATAACTCAGCAGTCTATCGCTGCAATCTCTTCCTTGGCTCCACAACGGCCACTTTTAGAACAGACAAAGAACTCGCCCAGGAGTTAGATCGTCCCAGCTGCTTTTAGCACTGTGTAAGGAAATGCATCTCTCTTCCCTTTTCATATCTCTGTGGCCACCACACACTTCGCCCTTCCAGAGCCTTCCCGTCGCTATGCGAATTCATAAAATATTGTGGAGTTTGTCGAAGGCCCGGGGGTCGAAGCTTCTGTCTGCAGACAGGACTTCCCGATTATTTTGTAAGGCTACTCAAGAGTGGAAGCAATGGCCAATGCGCAGAGGAAAACTGAACCACTGGTCTTGCTGGTCGATCTTCCCACACGTTTTAAAAAATTACTTTAAAATATAGACGTGCTTGCACTTTGAAACGCAAGTCTCAGAATGCTGGAAAAGGCCAAAACTCGAGTATAATTTTTGCTACCGCTGAAAAATTGCCTCCCAAACGCTTCCCGTATTCAAAGTGGGAAAATGTACCAACCAGTATTCCCATCACTGTATTTCAGAAGGGCAGAAGCTGAGAAAAAAATGGCTTGCTAGGCCAACCCTGCAGTGTAGACCACTGTTAATACACCTGGATATCAGGATGGACAAATGGAGCACTTACCCATCGACTGCAAGAGGCACAGATTTACATAATATTTGCATCTGCTGCAGATTTAAAAACAATTCCTCATTTGAGAGAAGTCCAAAATTGGTAGCCAATCCAAGTTCCTTTGTGCAGTCTGGATAAAGCATGCACAAAGTCAAAGGAGAGGAGAAAGTACTTAACCTTTTTGTTTGTTGTTGTAAATTGCAGTTGTATGGTGTTATATTGTATCCTGTTTTCCTTTGGTGTTTGTCATTTGTCAATAAGCCACTTAGCGATGTTACATACAGAGCAGTTCAAATACATACAAACTCCGTGACCCAAAACTCTTTCCACATTTCTCAGGGGTGGGACTGGACCATTCGACATCATTCCAGGCAAATTTGATCAAGGAGCGTGTGAGTAGCTGTATGGATTATTCCACTTTGCAGACTTTTTCTAGGCTACTTCCATTCTTCTGCTATTGTTTCATAAGCATATTGCACCCAGCCGAGATATTCCATTCCCGGGAGTAAAGCCAGCTGCACCTTTCCAAGCAGGTTAGTGGCCACTGGAATGACATTTCCTTTGGTCTTATCACGTGTCCAAATGCCAAGGTCATAACTATGATTCAGCACTTTCCTCAGAGCCAAATGCTTTCCCCCATCCAGGCTGACGCAAGACGCTTGCTGCCTGCAGCAAAGGAAGATTCCTCTCCCCGGAACTCCACCTATAGAAGCCAACCAGATTGACAGCTACATCTTTCGCTGGGGAGAGAAACCTGCCCCCCACCTCCTCTGCTGCTAGGTTTCTGCAGCATGAAGGTGCAAGGCAGGCCACAATTGACACACACACACACCCACCCACCCACCCAGCAAAGGGACTTTCACATCTATCACCCTACTCAGTCCTGGAAGTGCCAGTTCAACTAATCAGCAGAGAGCCTCTTCTTCACCGGTTGGCCTCGTTCCAGCTGTCTAAGTCAGTGCCCAGCACATGACAATGAATCTGTCAACCATCAGAAGTCAGAAGCACTTTTTCCACTCCCTCAATTTCTAATTAGTGAGCCATCGCAAGGCATGTATATTGGGGGGGGGGGGGGGGGAATCTCTGTGCACTTTCTCCACACCATGTCCGAGTGACTTCCCCTTAACAACCACCCTGCAAAGCAGCACAGTATTATCACTGCAGGTTTGATGCAGAAAGGCTGGAAGCAGACATTGTCCTTGATTATTCCAAGAAAACCACCGTGTGCATGATACTAGAAGCCAGATGGTGCACATTGTGTCTCCAGTGGGTACCAAGGCTATTGTTATGCAATCAGCTCATAAACAACCAACTCCTGGCACATTCTTAACGTTTTGAAGAGGGAGGAATATTTCAGAAAGGTTTACGAATATTTCATGCCCTTCTCCATCATACCCTTCTTTCACCATTTCTAAATTCACAAAACTGAGACAGGCAACACAATGTTTCAGGGCAGATCAGCCTAAAATGTCCCATTACTTCCTCCCAGTATCATCAGAGGCTCAGTTCTGCAATCATCTAGCACGCTCAATTCACCCCGAGACAGTAATGCCGGCCTGAGACACAGTGAAGGGTGAAATACAAGAATTTAAATAAAATAAATACATTTTCACTGGGCTCTTTGGGGGCATCTTTTCCCCATTAGTTCCCCGCACATAAGAGAAGGGTGGGGTTGGCAATTCTGCAAAACATGCAGTTTCCAAGTCAACTGACACTTTTTGCATGAGCGATGTTATTTTGGGCGTACAAAGACTGACACTTAAAATACGCTATTAATAGATAGGACATGAAGACAGAATCTAGATCACGTTATTAAACACTGTCAAGAGTCCTCAGAAGTGTGGTGTAGTGGTTAGAATACTGAACTGGGACTTGGGTTTTGTCAGATCGAACTCAATCAGCCACGCACCTCACACAAACCATTAGAGTTTAAACTGTAAACTGCTTGGGAGCAGAGACCTAGTCGAACTGCTTATCGAGTCCCATAAGAGAGCATTTGCCCAGAGGGTGCTGCAAACCAAATAGCCAGGATCTTCCGCAAATTGGACTGCATTCCCGGACTGGAGCAGTTTCACTTGCACTCGACAATAGGAATAGATATGCAAAGATTTTTTTTTTAAATCAAGGTATCAGGTTTGCACAGGAGAAAGAGCTTCATTTCCCCTTCCTGGGCCCCGAGATCTTCTGCTGCAGAGCTTCTCGCAGATCTTCTCCACCAAGGCTAACATCTGATGGCCTTAAATTACAGGATGTACTTTTCAGCTGAAAATTAACTTGACATTCCTGACTGCACTAAGTAGTTTAGCAATAGAAACAATTAACCAGAAGGTTACTGGCCATTCCTTGCTGGATGTGTTGGATTGGCCTACAAGGGCTGCTTCCACCTCCAAGCCTACAAGGAAAGCTGCAATGAAGAGCAACATACCAGTCAACATACCAAGCTTTTAATTGAAAGTTTCAAATGTCAACAGAGCATCTGTAGAAACCCTTTTGCCAACGAAGGGCTTTGGCCCAAGCAGCCCTTTGTGTTTCCAGTTTGAAGGTTTTCCAAGAAGGTTGAAAGGCTCGCCATAACAAGTTTAAGAGCAGCTTTGGGGGGAAAAGGCATACTTTGTTAACATTGCTCCAGAAATACTGAAAATGAGACGGCAGAAGGGAATCATATCCAGTACTGACAAAACATGACCCTCACGGGGTTTCCTAAAGGATTTCTAACAGGTTATGGGAACGGGGGTCCTGCTGAGATAATGAAGGAAGGAAAGAGCTAGAACCTATGTCCGAGAGAAGCATTTAAACACGGTGGAGTCCGTCCCTGTCGAATAGGATGCCGCCACAGCATGGACCGCACAGCCATGTTGGGAAACAGTATCTCCTTAGTTGCATACCCTAGAAATCCACCTACTGTGGACCATTCACCTTGGAGATGCTGATGCCCACAAGGATGGTGCATGCATATAAAGGGACAGATGCGAAAGCGATGAAATGGTACGAATCGGAACACTTGGTCCTCTGAGCTGATGTTGCCTTCCTGGCATAACTACTGCCTCTCAATTCTTTCCTGCCATTTCACTGGCAATGCAAGGATGGCAACACCTGTGCTTAGCTGGCAACAGCGACCTGGATGTAGCGGAAATGCCTCTAATAGCCGAGTGTTTTGGTACAGCAAGAGAAACATGGGGAAGCAGACTTGCAAAGTAAAAGGTGACATAACCTGGAAATTGGGATGAACCATCATTTCCTTTGAAATAATTATTTCCAGGAATACTCTCTCTCCAAATAAGGGACTCAGTCTTAGCTTAGTAAATCCTTCCTAAAAGAAAAGGGGGGATAGTCAGCAACTCATTTAATAAAATTCTTCTTCAAATCACCATGTCATCACTTACTGCAATTTTGGGCTGTATGGAGTAACGTCCACAATGTGGAAGTCTGGCCCAAATATGGCAGGGAATGCCACTTGGAAAGGGGAGTGGGGGGAAAGCTGCTTCCCCTTTTGCCTTTTTGTGCCATGTTTGATCCCCAACAAAGCATCATTCCAAGGGGAAATACGAGATTTTAACAGCTCAGCAATATAGATGAACCTTGGGGAGACCTGTTACCTTTCTGGATGTCCTTCAAACTCCTCTCCTTCCCAAACAAATCCAAAACATCACCCTGGATGTACAAGGCCCATGAAGAGAAGCACACAAAGCAGGGAAAACTTGCAACCTCAACAGCAAACCAACTCTATTGCGGCATCTGTGGATTGTGCCCGCTGCCAGCCAGCCAAGTGCAGCCAAGCAGAGGACCAAGTCAAGAGCATCCGTCCCCATGCCTGCCAACACGAGAGGCTCAGGGTGTGAGTGACTTCGTAACACTACAGGGAAAGGGGGTGCTCTAAGAGGGCGTTGGAGCAAGAAAAAGGAGCCCGGCTCTATTTCCCGGAGAGCTGCTCGTAGAGTTTCGGCACATAGTCATCCCACTCGGCCTGGTAGCACGTGCCGGCCACGGGCGCCCCCAGCTTGTACTTCTTGCGGAAGCTCGCCACCTGGAAGTTGCCACGCTTGTCCCCAGAGCGGTTGCTCAGGATGGGCTCATTGCAGTTGAGCTGCTGCGGCTGTTCATAGACCAGCCACACGTACCGATGGAGCCCTGCAGAGGTCGGGAGAGAAGCAGAGACAGGCTCAGAGCAGCGCCAGCAAGAGGCTGCCTCTGCAGTGGCATGTTTAGACTGTAGGCTCCTCCAGGCGGAGGCAACCTCCCCCCTCCACCCTGGCAAGCACAGAGTGGTCAGTGCTCAGAGGAAAGGAAGGGGGAAACCGCGAAGGCATCACTGCTATCTGGGGAATACCAGGGCACTGACTCAACCCTTCCTACCTCACAGGGTTGCTGTGTGGTGAAAACATGCTGGAGGACTATATAAGCTGCTTTGGGTTCCTTGCAAGAGGAAAAGGGCAGGATAGAAATAGAATAACGGCATAGACAGGGAAACCTGCTGCTGATGCAGCCAGGAGCCATTCCAGCTTGCACTGTGGAATCCAATCAATAAACTGCTGGAAGGGCTGCTCTGCTACGAAACCCAGGGATTCATGCATCAGTTCACTCCAATGCAACCCTGAAACCATTTGGCTCTGCTTTACGGGACTTTTCCCCCCTCTCTGGGCCTCCAGAGCAATCCATCGCTCCCCATCCTCCTTGATCATCCTGCCTGGATGGTCCCCGGGAGGGGCCAGTGAGCACCCTTCCCAGAGTCAGCATCGATGCCTGCAGTGGAGGAATGCCCACCTGGAAAGCTCCGAGGTTGCTCACCTGTTCCTTTAGGAGGCCCGGATCCAACATAGTCCGAGAGGACACGCCCACTGCTGATGTCATTGCCCTTCATGTTGGTCACCAGGAAGTGGTGCCACTCCCTAAAAGGTGGGCAAGGAAAGTTTAAATGTTGTTCCAGCTGCCTCTACATCACCTAAACATGTGCCCTTCCTACAATGCACGTAACCCAGACCCTCACGTAACTCCCTGCCCCTCTCACCTGAACTTTGGGTTTTTCCTGCTAGGTGCATCAGGGTCAGTAAGAACCAAAGTATAGAGTTTCTCAGGGTCACAATCATCCCAGTCAATCTTCGTTGGGCGATTCTTGACCTGCCAAAACAAAAATGGTAGAGGTGCACCAGCACCAAAAAAAGAAAAGACAAAGCATTTACTATCCACACACACAAAAGCACAATTTACCAAGTCACAACTTCTAGCTCTCACCTATGCCTTCAGCAGCTGCCTAAAAGAAATTCAAAACACACAGTACTTTTTCCATCCATTTGTACCCAAGCAAAGAAAAGCTATGGACAGCCAATCACTGGAGTACACTGTACATTACTTATTTCCACAAAACCCAGAAGGTCCAGCAATTTGACCAATGCAGTCTGTTGGTGATATGTCCAGCTGCACTTCTACAAATCTAGGTGGAGAGAAATGTGTTGAAATAGCCCATGTCCCCTTTGGCTCTTACACCAAAGCCCTAATTTACCCTAATTGTGCCTTAAAAGACCACAAATGTAGTAGAAAATGGAAAAATCATGGCTCTGCTTTCTATGATATTGGCTCTCTTCGATCTTCTTTGGATACAAACCCAGCCTTGCTGGTCACCACAGGCGAGCAGAAATTCCACACAGGCCAATATGCATTACATTGCCCCTCTTCCACCAATCTGCTTAGTTTCTGTGCCAGCCACAGAGGCAGGAAGCACCCTGTTTCCTTGCAGAGCCCAAACAGGGCTTCCTTCCCTGCACTGCTATAGCATGCAACGGGCTAGGAAAAATGTTTGCAGCCTGGTAAATTATTTACAAGGCTGTGCAGTCCTTTACACAGGCGGCTGTGCCATCGGTTGGATTTTTAGTCATTAAACCCTTTTTTATCCCACTCTTCAACCAAGATGACTTCCAGTGTGGCTTACAAATCAATAACTAGGCAGTTTTTTGCCATCAAGAAGGCACAACACAAAAGAAATGGGGATGAGGCGGGAAGAGGAAGATGGCCTTTGACCTGAACTGGTCCAATGTTCACGATTCTCATCTCTCCCCCATTCTGCCCACTGGGTTACGTGTTGGTGCTTTACACCTTCTTGAGTCAGGTTCCACCCGTCTTTGAAAGCACAAGTACATGCAAAAGCTATACTAACATAAACGTCGGCTCTAAACAAAGGCCTGCAGCAAGCTGCCAATTTCCAAATAGCACGACGGACAAGCATGCCCTTCCTTGATGCCATAGCCTTGTCTTTGCAATTTACTAGCTGAGGCAAGGACATTTCCTTAGAAAGGGATGAGCTTTGTGCAAAGCAGCAGGCAGGATGCCATGAGGGAGGCCTCAGAGGTTCACTGGCTGCCTTGAATACTTACACAAAAAGCAATATTTGAGGGTTGGGAATTACAAAATGGAGACACCAGGACAAGGGCAGATTGATGTGAGCAAATGCGTATCCAATGGTGCATCTTAGCTGTATTTGGGGCCAACGTTCAGGGGCTCGAAATAAACCACTCAGAGAATGGGAGGTGATGGGGCAGTGGTTAAAAAGGCCCTGCTGTGAGCCCCAGTCTGGATGTCCCTGGAATGGCTACTGCTCACCGCATCCCCCTCCTTAATTTTAAGATGATTTTATTCAAGGCAGCCATCCCAACATATATATGGTTACAGATGCTCATTTTGTTTTATTTTAAATGTATATATTATTCTTATCCATACTACATGGTGGTCCTTTCCCATACACAGGGTTCAATCCTACACATGTTTAGCTGGATACACATCAAAACATGCCTAAGCTTCTGTCCTAAATGCATTTAACATCCAGGCAGCAAAAGCAAATGCTGTTTTATTTCTGTTGTCATGAGAACGCTATGTTTTAAGGGAGATTCAAACGTAGAAATACATGTGCTGCAGTGTAGATAAAAAATTAAACTTCTGCTTTGTAAACAGAATATCAAACATAATGCCGTCTTAAGGCAATCGTTCCCATAAGCAAATAAACTCTGGAGTTTATTTCTGAACTGCACCTTTGGACATATCTAAAGCTTAATTCCAGGTCAGAGCCAAATTTGGGGCAGGGGGCTGATACCCCCACGCTGAATTGGGAACAAGCTCTTGGGTCTAAGCCACTTACTCAGTTCCTTGGCTCGGGTCAAACGGGACCCGCTCTGAACCGATTTTTTGCAGAAGTATCCAAGAACACCACTACACAAAAGTTGTCATTGCGATTTATTTTGTACCAGCGGCACCCATAAATAGGCGTTTTTACTAGCCTCGATTCCCCCTTCCTAGGCCTTTCCACTTCTTTAATTCCCACGCTTTCTCAGCCTGCAATGAAGACCACAAACGCCGTTTCTCTCTTGTGCCATTTCACTGAAAGGGGCGTGCACTTAATGCGCGTGCGTATCCGGGTTTAACGCCGCCGCCGCCCCCCGCCCGCCGGGGCTCCGTGGTCCCGATCCAAAGCGGGCCACGCGAGCTTACACCAAAGTAAGCCAAGCCAGCGCGCAGACGCCCACGACGCGTGATTAGGAGCACGTCGGAGTTGGGCGCGCGCGCGCCATGCGAAAAGGGGGCGCTGCTTTGAAGGCGCGCTTGAGATCCAGCCACACACCGCCCCCCTCGGTCGAGGCTCCCAACCGTTGAGCATGCGAGGAGGCGGGACAAGACTGGGGCCTGCCTCGGCCCGTCCCGGACTTCACTGCAGCAGATGCCATATTTGCAAAGCAATTCGTTAAAAATTGCAAACACATTGCCTTTAAAATAACAGTGACAGCAATAATAAATCCTTGGCGTTCTCTGGGCTACATGGGCCCATCATTTTTCTGTAGATGCGGTGACAGATCGAAAATGAACTAGCCTGGGTGCAATTCACCATTTTTAATGCCTACAGCCGATCGCACCTCATCCTTAAATCGTCAATTTGTCCCACAGTAGGACGTGCTTTATTTGCGTTTGAACCCCAGGGCTTAGACGAAGAAAGCCTGGCTACATACGGCCGCCCACTCCGCCTTGTTCTCTTTTTATTTGCGCCTAGAGGGGGGTTCAAATATGCCCATTGTCTCCCAATGCGTTGGGGTCAGCGGAATCTGCAAATGCCGATCCCGAACGGAGCGGGGGGGGGGGCACTGTTTCTCCAGCACAGGCTTTAAACGGGGGAAAAGGGGTGTTCCAACTACATAATATGTAGGGGCTTCGACAGCCCCTCTTCCCCACATGGCGCCAGGGAGAGGAAGGACCGCAAGAAAAAGCGCAAAGCATACGGAGGGTCTGCATTTTGCAAAGCAGGCCAGCCTCGCGGGGAGGGGGCGCATTTCAATTACCTGGGTGGGCGTGAGCACTTTCCCGAGCTCGTCGATTTCCAGCGTCCCGTAGCAGACCCGCAACGGATTCGCAGGCTTCTCCTCTACCTCCGGGAGGCTCAGCGATCCGCCCCACTCGCTTAGATCCACCGGCATTTTTGCAGAAGAAAACGCAAAACTCCAGCGCACGAAGCCGCCGCGTTTGCTCCGAGCGAGAAGCCACGGCGCGCGCAGAAGCATCTGCAGAAAATCGTAGCTACTGAATGGCAGCCGCCTCCTCCAATCCTGGCCTCGCGGAAGCCCCACGTCTCGCTCCTACTGGCTCTCGCGGGGAGGCGGGGTCGCCTCCGGGGCTGGGGAATATTCGTTGCTTTTGGAAGGTGCGGGTCGAAGCCTCTGGAAAGAGTCTGTGCATCGTTTTACGCAGGGCTCCTTTGCAGAGCCAGCTTTCGGCGGGCCCACGGTCGAGACGCCTCTGACCACGGGCAGAGTGCCCACAGCAACCTGGCATAACACCATCGACTCTCTGAATGGAGGCCTTGCTGCTCACAAAGCAGCTATCAGTGCTTGGGCTACAGCCAGGTGGGGCTCGGCCTTAAAGCCCAAGACCACGCCCCCCAGCTGGTCATTCAGCGAGCAAGGCGAAACACCTGGGAAGAGGCAGCTCCCCTCTCATCCCCCCCGCCCCGAATTGGAAAGAAGAGCACCTGCTCTGGGAAGGGACCTGCTGCCACCTATAGATGAGGAACCGTCATTAAAAGTCACGCTGGAACACCTGACTGACCTTAATTGAACAGGATGATCTACGAAAGTTTCATGGCTAAAATCCTATGCGTGTTTATTCATTTGTTCGTTTAAAACTTCTACGGACCATCCTATTACTGGCATCTCGGGATGGTTTACAACAAGCACAAATCAAATAGAAATGGCACAACATCCAGTGGTTAGATATTAAAACCACAATCAAGCCCAATTAACAATTAAAATAATGGAAACATGGAAAGATTTTTGCCTGGCACCAAGAAGAAAACAGCGTAGGCACCAGAGGAACCTCTCTGGGGAGCATATTCCACAGTTGGGGTGCCACTGCAGAGCAGGCCCTCCTCCACTTCAGATCTCAAGGGGCAGGAAGGCATATCAGGAAGGAGGCGCTCCTTCAGGTACGCAGGACCCAAGCCATTTGTTTAGGGCTTTACAGGTCATCACCAGCACCTTAAATTGGGTCTGGACTTCAATGGGTAGCCAGTGTAAGCAATAGAGGACCAGTGTTATGTCCCTGCAGGTCCCTTTTAATTTAGCTTAAACATTTCTGTGCCATCCTATGCAAGGAGCCTCAGGATGGCTTACAAAGATAAACACTATAAAATACTAACAACCATCAGCAATACAAAAACTACAATTCATAACTTAGAGGAAAAAAGTGACTGTATAAAACTGGCATTACTATTAAAATTTTAATCAAAATTATTAGTTAATTAAAATAGTTTATTAAAAAAAGAGGTATTTACCCGGAGTTGGCACCAGGCAGACCTCTCTGGGGAGTGTACTCCATAATGTTAACATCCTGGCAGCTCTATGCCAAACTAACTGAAGTATCTGTTTACTTGAGACTTAAGTCCCACTGAACTTAATGGGATTCACTTTAGTAGAAATGCACATAAATCAATTAAACAGGCCTTACTCTCAGATAAGTGTGCATAGAATTGCACTTATTCAACATAGGGGATTAAACTTGAAATGTCTTATATGCAAAGTTTGACTCCACCTCTGAACTATATCCTTTCCCCAGTGATAACCCTGCGTACATACAAATGTGGAAGTAAAAGGAACTAACATGTAGTCTTTGGCTACTAAACAGCATAAAAATGAACTAAATAAAACTTCTACAGTCCTTTCCCCCCTCAAAGAGAGTAGAAAGGAATAGAGATACTCCATTCTACAGGCCTATAAAATTAAAGAGCTCAGAAAGTGTTCCTAAGTATCAATCGGACCATAAAAAGAAAAACAAGACCTCTGAGAACGCCAGTAAGGCCTGCTTACTAGACCTCTCTCAGCAACAACAGACAGATGGTGTCTCAGCAAGAAGCAAAACCCAGCTGAAGCCTTATATAGGCTGACAAGACCTACCCAAGCAACCCCTCTCTGAGACTCACTAATTAATTTCTTAAAGGTACAGACATAATTGTGCAGCCTGACATTTCTGGAAGATTTGGAATGTATCCTCTGGCCCAGGGAACAATGACAGGGTCTTCTGAATGGTAGGGCCCTGAATACAGCACAGATCTGGATATCCAGAGAGGTACCCCGCCCCTCATCCTCATCAGAATTCTACCCTGCAACTTCCTTGTTCCATTCTTAGGTCTTTTGCTTGCAATCCATTTATCATCTCCATCTGATTCCCTGTGAGGAGATGGTTCTGAATGTGTCAAGAGTCCAAAACCACTAGATACTCATGAGTAGACTTTCATTTATTTATTATGTAGGTATGTGTTTGTTGTATTTATATCCTGCCTTCTTTACCCTCCAAGGAACTCAAGGCAGCGTACATAATCCACCCCTCACTTACCCTCACAACATCCCTGTAAGGTAGATTAAGCTGAGAGTAACTGACTGGCCCCTAGTGAGGTTTGTGGCCAAGTGGAGACTAGAACCCAGATCGCCTGGATTCTAGTCCAGCTCTCTACCCACTACACTACACTGCCTCCCATTTCTTCTTTGCTGCATGGAAATGGTCATTTTTTCCTTGCCACTTGAACCTTGGAGGTTGCTTGCAAGCAACTTCTGTGCTTTCTGTAAATTTATCTCCCTAACAGAGTGATGCTGTTTGTCCAAGATCACACCAAAGGCTTTCTCTATAAATATGTTGTTGATATGCTGGCTTAGCACATGTGCAGCTTCTGGTTCCTGGGAAGTATTATCATTTTTCCACAGTGGGGAAGTGGAGCCCTAAACAAGTGCTGCCAGGATCAGGGCCGCTCCAGAGGGGCGTGTGGTGGCAGCAACCAGGCCAGCTGCACAGTCTCCAGATGGATACCAGCTGGGAGCCCTGGGGTAAGCACTACGTAAGAGCCAACTGGTCGTCCAGGAAGCTTCTGTGGGGTGGTTTGGCTTGGTTTTTACTGCCTTTGTGTTGTGTTGTGTCACATTTTGCCTTGTTTGCTGTACCTGGATCCTGACTGGTTATCCTGACTCGAGTACCTGTACCCTGACTTGTTTGTTTGCTTTGCTCTTAATATTGGGCCTCTGCATGGCTGCTTCTTTGTCTTGCTATTCTCTGGCATGTGCTCCAGACTCCAGCCTTTTTCGTGACCGCAAAACTGTCTGGTGCTGACCAGCGCTTGGACTCTGCCCCACCTTGAATTCTGTTGTCATGGTGCCTCTGCCTTGCCTCTTGCTCCCCATGTCCTGCACCATGACACTTTTCTACCAGTAGCTGAGAATACACTGCAACAATTCATTACAGTTCCTCCTTTTTTTTATGCAGAAAACCCAATATGGGAAGTGCCTTGTTTGACTTTTTTTTTTAAACCAAAGCACATTCAAGCATGCATTGGCAAACATTCAAGTATAGGGGGCACCCTGCTATTAGACAAACTGAATTTGGCCCTGAATTTAACAAGCCCAGAGTGCCATTTTCTTGCTGGGAGGACTGCCGTGTCCACCAATGCAAATGACAAAAGCAACTGCAAATGAATGTTTTTATTATATTTATAACAAGCACAACACAATAAAATAAAGAGTGGTATTTGTATTCCACTTTCCCCCAGTGAACTTAAAGTGGCTTACATTATTCTCCTGCTGCTCTCAATCTTATCCTGTGAGGTTGGGCTGAGAGTCTCTGAACGGCCCAAAGTCACCCAGTGGCCTGCCTGGCTGAGAGGGCACTGGAACCCTGATTGCCAGAGTCCTAGTCCCACAGTCTTAACCACTACACCACACTGCTCTTCTGGATAGGCAACTAAGAATCCACAAGAACCTACAGGGAAACTCATGCGAAGAGCCATCTGTTCTTTTTAAACATGCACAGGATTGCACTGTTTCTGGAATGAGCTTTCAGTGTGTCTTCAAGATGTCACGGGAGCCTACCTTGTTTGAACAATAATCCAGACAGTGCAATGGGAAAGAACAGCAATGCTTAATAAGAACTGACAGAAGAGATGAAAAAGGATAGCAAGCGAAAGGCCAAGGAATGAAATGAGCACGATGCAGGGCAGAATTCTGACGAGGATGAAGTAAGGGCTACTTCTCTGAGCTACTGCAATCCATGCCTTATCCAGGGCCCAGTACTCAGAGGGTGCAAACCTGCCATTGTACTCTGGGCAGGAAGATAAGCCCCCCGTCCTACAGAAATGTCAGGCTGCACAATTGGGTCTGGGCCCGTTAACAAGCGAGTCAGTGATACTGGGAGGGGTGGAGCTGCCCGTATTTGTTGAGAATATTTGCATGCTGTCTTACATTTCAATGATTGTGCCAGCCGATATGAGGTTAAGGTTTCCGTTGGCTTCAGCTCCTTGCTGTGACAACTTTTTCCTATAGTTGGGGAGAGGAGAAAATGGAGAGGAAATGCTTGTCAGCTGCTCCAGTGCCTTGCAAGAGGAAGAGAGCTGGGATATAAATGCAATGTAGTAGCAATAATACTAATACTAAAGTATAGGTATGTTCCTCCAACAAAGCAAAAGTTGGAAAAACAGCAAGAAGGAATAAAAAGCAGGCAAGGAAACAACTCCAAAAACAAGGCAAAGGTGATGAAACTTGGATGCGCACAGGCAGAGGCTTCTTTCTGCCTTCTGCCCTTTCTACCCATATGCGTGTCTTCCTTTCAGACGCACAGAGAGAGACTTCCGTGCCCCCGTACATTGGCACAAGCAAGCCGTTGTGTCGGCCCGTCCCTTCCACCGCCCCGGTGGGCACCCGGCCTGGTCTCCCGGGCCGGAGAGGCTCCCTCCTTCTGGGGCGCGCGCTTCCGAGGACCGACGCTAGGCGGAGGAGACGGCGGCGAGCGGGCGGCCCGGCGGCGATACCCGGCGCAGACCCGCCCCCGGCGGGGCGGGGCAGTGTCGAGAGGCTCCCCGCCTCGTCCCTCGCCAGCGCAGCCCGCGGGGGCAGCGCCGGGTTGCTCCGGCTCCTCTCCGGTCCCGGCTGCCATGGCGAGCGGGCTGGCCGCGGTGCTCGTCCTGGCCCTGGCCCTGGCCCTGGCCCTCGGCCCGGGCAAGGGCGCTGCAGGTACGCGGGAGGGGGCAGGCGCACGTGGGGACGGGGCGGCGCGCGTCCCGCGGGGCTCGCCTGCTTTGCGCGCGGGCTCCCTGCGCCCCCACGGGAAATGCGCGAGGGTTCCCCACGAAACAGGCACGCTCGGGGACGCGCCTTCCCCCCCACCCCCTTCCCAACTTCGGAAGTTGCGGGGCTGAAGGGGTGGGCGAGCCCCCTTCAGAGGGGAGGGCGCCGTTTATACGCCGCCAACTTCTTCCCACCGAGCCAGCGACGAGCCCCGCTTCTAGCCCACCTGCCTCCCCTCTCTTCCTCCCAATGTATAGATACCGGGCTAATTTCGGGCAGGATCGGCTCCCCCCAGCCAAGTATTCTGGAACAGGTTTGCCAAAACCTGCCAGCCGCGAAGTGGATCCGTCTCGCCGCACTTCCTGGTGCTTACACTGCGGGTTACGGGCTGGACAGCTCCGGAGCACTTTTCTGGGCTCTGTCACTAGCAGAGGAGTTGGGGGGGGGGCGTGACAGGGCTGGGGTGCTTGCAGCGAATCTTCTGGCTAAGCACAAGAAAGCAGCTTGGAGGAGAAGCAGGAGAAGGGGAAGGGGAACGCTGCAGGGTGGAAGGGGAAAAGGAAAGAATTAAAGCCGGCAAAACAGTCCGAATTGGTCTGCAGGGGTTGTGACTGGGCCCGAATTCGAACCGGCGCAACGTTCTAGTGATTTTGGCCTCTAGCCATGAGAATGGGCTCGCTTTTGCTCAATTCGTCGCTATTTGATTTTTTGGTAAAAATATCAATCCATGGGACAGAGAGCATTAGTTTTAAAGCTCTGGAAAGCTCTGAGCACAAACTGCTATTCTGAGAAATCTTTCCAGGGGCCAACAAGCTTTGAGGAACATTTAGAAAAATGCATTTGTTTTAGTCTATTTGTAGTCTGTATAGTATCATCTGAGAGTATTTGACTTTACAAAGTTACAAAGGACAAGTCCCTGTCTCTAGGTGCTTACAATCAATTCTTTCCCCCGAGAACTAATATTTCTCTCTGTGCTGGTCACGCTCCCTGAAATCATCTCCTTAGAGTCAGGAACTGGGAACAAAGGATTCTGTTCTGGGGCAAACATTTTTTATTATTTCTTAATGGAGCAAACATTTCAACCAGTCTACCTCTGAATTTTTGTTTTTTACTGGCAACAGTGATATTAATGTAATTTCCCTTGTTCTGGCTGGCTATAGCTGAAACTTTCATACCAACTTTCTTCACTGCCCTGTTACAAATTATGCTTCCAGAATGCATTTAGGGATCTTTTAATGGTGTTAAATAATCGTGTTTTTTATTTTTAATGCCCGGTTCTGAACTGAGCTATTCCTGTTTCACATTTGTAGAGGGATTTGAATGGCTTGATTTGCCATGGTTGCTGAATATATCTGCCCCTCATTGGATTGGGATTTTTTTCCTGGTAGTGAGGGATGATGGGAATTAAAGTCCCACAGGCATGGCCATCTGGGGAATCCTGGGACTTTTCTTTCAGTCTAAAATGCATAGAATGATAACCTTAAATACATGATTATCTCTCCATTGGAATCAATGGGATTGGCAGTGGCCTGGAATGACAACTCGGAAGTTAGTCCCACTGAATTACATGAGACCAGCTCCCAGGTAATTGTGTACAGGAAGGATGGGGACTATGTGGCCTTCCGGATGTTGCCAAACTAGCCTTCCCACTGGCTGTGCTGGCTGGGGATGATGGGAGTTGCATTCCAGCCACTTCTGGAGGGCCAGACATTCCTCATCTGTAGGGCATTGATTGCAACTGAAAGCTGCTTGCTATGGCTTGACTGGACACATCACCCTTTCAAACAGGTGCTGTGTATAGACAGGAGCTGAACTAAAATGGGCCATTGAGAAATGAGAGGGAAGTATCCAAGCCCTTGTGGGGTTCCCAAGGCTTGCAAACCCCCGCCCCCGCCCCCACGAAACAAAACAAATTATAGTCCCAGAAGGACTGAGTATGCTCAGTGACCAAGGAGGCTGAGCATCGGTGGGAAAATAAAAACAGAGAACTGCAGAAGGGAACGGAGAGGCAGGAATAGATGGCTGGAACTCAGAACCTCTAGTTTACATAAGCATAAAAGGGTAATTAAAAATCAGGGATTCCGGTGGGCACCAGGGAAGGTGTCCACAGGCCTACAGACCTCTTTTTGGAAGACCCAGTATTTAAAAATCCACATCAGGGCTACTGATGTAATCAGCATGATTGCTACTGGTTGGGTAGTTTTCTTTCTGGTAGATTTTTGCTTGTATTACTGCAGTGGCGGAAGCAGTACTAATACTGATATTTGCTGATTGAAAGTAGGTAATCTTTTGTTTTCGCAGCTCCTTGATTTCCTCATTGTGCCAAGGTTTATTTCCCCCAGAGTTTTAATCTGGGCCAGACTCAGACACCGCAGGGGACCTTTGAAACCCGGCTCAGTGCTGGTTGGTGTGGCCCATTTGTTTTAAAAATACAAGGGCTCTCGTTACATTGACGGCATGGCTAGGTAATAACAGCTTCCCTTTCATAGTTCAGGGTGGAGCCTTTTCAGCTTCATGATGAGTGCAATTCTAGCCACATTTGCTCTGGAGTAATTCCCATTGAGTTCAATGGGACTTCCTCCCAGGCTAGTGGAAGGACGCAACCTTTGTTCATGGATAAATAAAGGCAGCTTCTGAGAGATCTGAGCTTCAGCCAAAGGAAAAATGCTGGACGCATTAGTTGGACCTAAATGGCCATTAAGAGAAAGCTTAATCGCAGGAACAATGGCTTAGTAATACCTTAATAGCTCACCTCTTTGCAAAAATGCTCAGCTGTAACATGCCAGTGAGCCAGCTAATAATGCCCTCCAGGAACTTCTTGTACAGTTGCATCCTCACTGCTGTCTGGTTTCCTCTTTCCTGAGAGCTGTTATAGTGTATGATCTGAGCCATAAGTGACAGCTTTCTCAGTGGAAGCCCTGCAGGCCTGAGGTCACCAAATATGGTACCAGTTGACATCTCCCTTGGTGCCCACCAGACTCCCTTTCCCTTCCTCCTGATTTAAATTTAATTCTTTCATATTTTTGAAATGTTTTTAAAAAGGGAAGGTGCTGTCATCTTTACGGATATATTTATTTAAAATATTTATATGCCGTCCTGTCATGAAAGCCTCAGGATGGCTTACATAAATGAAATACAATAAAATATAACATGAATAAATTATCGACTCACACTGGCTGCAGTTAAAAACATACAGGACACAATATTAAAACTTATTAAAATATTGCTGAAATAAAAAGGTCTTAACCTGGCGCCGAAAAACAAATAACGAAGGTGCCAGGTGGACCTCTCTGGGGAGCGCATTCCACAGATGGGGCACCACCGCAGAGAAGGCCCTCCTCTGGGTACTTTGCCTCCTGATGTCTTTCATGGAGGGTTCCCGGAGGAGGGCCTCTGCTGCTGATCTCAGGCGGGGAGGGCAAATATTGAAGAAGGCATTCTTTTAGGTATCCAGGTCCCAAGCTGTTAAGGGCTTTATAGGTAATAACCAGCACCTTGAATTGAGCCCGGACTTCGATGGGAAGCCAGTGAAGCTGATAGAGGACTGGGGTTATATGAGAATAATGCCCAGTCCCCATCAGCAGCCTGGCTGCTCTGTTTTGCACCATCTGAACTATCCGGTCTGTCTTCAAGGGCAGCCCCAGGTAGAGCGCATTGCAGAAATCCAACCGGGAAGTAACCAATGCATGTGTCACTGTTGCTAGGCAATTTATTGATTTACGTGCTTCTTTTAGTCTCATTGGTTTGCCTTCTGGCAGATGTGTGTTGCGTGACTAGCCACAATGGCAGCCATTTTGCGCAAGCACCCACGAGACGCAAACTTCCAAATGTGCCCACTGACCCAAAAAGATTGGGGTCCTGTGCCTTAACCCTGGGTGGTCTCTGCCCATTCCTGCCAGCCATTGAACTTATTTGACAAGGAGGAAGGTTTTTTGCTTTATCTCAGGGTTGCTGGAGCAGGAAGGTTTTCCTGAGTTTGGATGTATCCCTCATGTCTGATTCCTGGCTTGCTCCTCTACCTGACTTCCCGTTTTCTTCTGTGGCTTGGGCTCTTTAGTTCTGACTACCCACTGGACCCACAAGCTCCTGGCTTCCACTTGTGACTCTTTCTAGGCAGCTGCTCAAGTTCAGCCCTGAGAGTTCCAAAGAAAGCTTCTTTTGGGATGCCAAGAGATTCCTGTCTCTTCCTGGAAAGGAAAGAGGGATATGGTTCAGGGCCAGTAGCAGAAAGGATGAGAAGCAAGAGCAGCTGGGGGTCATGGTGGTGAGAAGGTACTGGGTGGACTTCTGGGTTCAAGGGGTTGAATGTCGCTGTCATGGAAATTGCCATGGGTGGTTGTTGTTGGAATGTGGATTATCCTGTCGCCTGAACTCAGCTACGATAACAACCATGTTGACCAACCCATGGTTTGCAACCCAAAAACTCTTGTGTTGTTCATGGTTGACAAGCCACAGCTTCTTAGTGCAGCTGTGTCCAAACAACATGATAGCCTATGGCTCAACAGCAACCACTGTTTTGGCCCAGTCAGGAATGGGAGAGGGCCCACTGAGGGTATCTTGTCTGAAGGCCCTCCAAAACCTTGAGCCAGCCATGGCATGATTGGAGACTTTGCACAAGAGCGTACATGGAAACTAACTTTCCTTTTTCCCTTTCGCAGGCACCGATGAGCTGGTGGTTGGAGAAGCCGATGGGGATGTGACCCTGGTGTGCAGGAATGTGTCCCTGGGGATGGTCAAGGTGGACTGGTTTCATGGAGAGCCTGGCTCCATCCCCATACTTTTCTCCTCGGATGGCAAGCTGCCCACCGACGCGCGCTTCTCCTTGGTCGGGAACAGTTCCTTGCATATCTTGGGGCTTCGCCTGCAGGATGAAGGCAACTACACCTGCAAGGAAGTGCTGAACAGGACAGATCACATGCACAGAATCCAGCTGTTTGTGGCCAGTAAGTGTTGGCGTCCCTCCCGTTGTGCTCCTTGCAGAGGAGGAGGAGGAGGAGTCCTGCCGACTCGACTCGGACCAAGTGCTTCATGCAGAGATCAACCTGGGGCAATGGATGAATCGATGAAGCCTACCTTCTGCAGCATTGTCAGATGCCCTCAGAGCAGTTAGAATCATCAAATTGATAAATCCAGCCATGAAAATGTTGGAACACTAAAACCATAATGGTACTTAAAAAGCCAGGGAGTAATCGATGCAGCAGATTAAAGGTTAAATGCCAGATTAAAGGAGAAGATCTTGGTATCCAAAATGCTCCAGGCTGATCTCTCAGGAAGGGCATTTTACAGACTAGAAGGCCAGTACCGAAAAGGCTGTTTGCCTGGTAGACACCCATCCCATGTTATGAGTAGCGGCCCCGAGAAAAGAGCCTTTGAAGATGTTCTTAGTAATCAGGCAGGACTGCAGGTGCTGCTTCAAGTAGCCCGTCAGCTTTTTAGCGTGCAGCTGTATGCAAGCTTAGACAGAAACATGGCCCTTTTTCTGTCTAAATTTCTGCAAGATTGCACCTTTAGGATTCTGAAGATGATCCCCAGCTCTTTGAGTCAGGCATGGTAACCGCTGCATTGGAGGAATATTTTCAAACAGGCCAACTTCATGGTGCAAAGAGGCAGCTGGCTGGCTTGCTTGCTGGAGTGACCAGCAACATGAGACCAAGAGTCCGTCTGGGACCAGGATTCTGTGTCCACCATGGCCAGCCAGCTGCCCACAGGATCCTACAAGCAGGGTGTGAGTACAGCAGCACTCTCCTACCCATGTTCCCCAGCAACTGGTGCACATAAGCATTTAGGAGCATGGAACCTTGGCCTTACACAAAGTTGAGCCACCAAAGGTCTCCTAAAGTGGCATCGCACAGGTTTTCAAACAAGCTGTAACTGTTTTGCTTTGGATTCCATCTCTGTTGGTTGATTTCCGCATTTGTGCTAGAATCTCTCATCAGAGGTACAGATGCTGTGCAGGAGGGTTATTTCAAAGGATGCTCCCTGGGGAGCCCGGTTTCTGCTCAGTCCTGCCCTGCCCTGCCAGCTGCTATTGCTCTCCTTATTCTAGTTGGTGGACCTTGAGGGATTGAGTGAAATCAGCAACAAAACCCCAAGAGAGATCCCACAGGTCGGTCGAAGTAGATTCTGCTGGCAATACCAAGGTTCACAAGCAGGGAGAAGCTTTTCTGCAACATGCTCCCGGAGATCCTCTTCGTGGTGGCCATAACACCAGGTGCCTGGAAGGGAACACGAGACGTTTGGCTTGCAAGGGACCGTGCTGCTGCGCTCAGCCTACCGCCTCTGCGACGTGTTCTGCCCAGGTGGCACGGGCATCTGCCCCGTGGCTGGTCTGTGTTCTTAGCTGACTGAGTGGCCTTCCCGCATCCTGGCCTTGTTCCAAGTGGGCCTTCCTGTGTGTTCTCAAGGTGTGGCAGGCTGGCAGGTGTGCGTGTCCTGGAGGGAGGGTTGCACCTCCTCAGACTGCTCTGAAGGACACCTCCGGGTGCCTTCCTGTGTGTCCGCATGCCTCCCCTGGGCCTCGGAGTGGTGTGGACTGAGCAGGACAAGATGTGGGGGACTTGGCTTGCATGCAGGGGAGGGGATGTTTGGGACTATGATTCCCTTAATCCCTGACTGGCTGGGGCTGATGAGGGGCTGGCAGTCCCAAACATCTGGAGGGCATACAGCTGCCTCTCCCAATCTGGTGCTATTCGGATCAACACATCTGCAGCAGCCCAGGTGTGAGGAGGGGAGTCCAGAGTCCAGCTGATGGGCTGTTGCCTTGGAGGTCAGAACTCCCGGCTGCTCAGTGCGGGGATTTGGACGTCTCTTGCCTCTTAGTCCAGGGTGTTCCTAGCTGCTCATCAAGGTTAAGCCACTGAGCAACGGACAGCCTTCTGTTTCATGCATTGCAACTGTTGGAGTTTTTCTCTGGGCATCTAGGCCTCTCTGCATTGTTTTTAAAAGCAATAAACAGGGTGTTTAGGGTTTCCGTGGGTGGAGGAAGGAAGTCGCAGAGAAAAACCAGTGCAAGGGCTAGGGGGAAGAGCAGGTGTTTTTGCAATGTGCGGGAAGTGTGTTTGTGTGGGGAGGACAGGTATGTTCAGGTAGTGAGTCTGGGCATGAGAACTAGGAGCACGTTCCCATTTTCATCAGACATGTTGAAGGCCGTGGGGATTGTGTTACCCTTAGAGCGTCAACCTTTTAAAAGTCAGATGTTGGATCTGGGACTGGTAAGAGAAAGCACCCTGACCGCCATCCATCCAGGGTGTGGCAGAGCAACTCTCAGCACGCCAACCAGCTTGGCTGTTGATGGGAGTTGGCATCCAACACACAGAGCTCACCAGGGTGTGGAAGGTTGTCTCTGTGTTATAGTTAAGTTTACGAGGCAGGGCCTTTTCTGTGGTGGTGCCTTGGCTTTGGAGCATCCCCATTTAGTGAGCTTGTTGAACTGCTATTTGCCTTCTCCCAGTCTTAAGAAGATCTTCAAGACAGTCCTGGCTAGCCTTGTGCATATGGGGCAGTTGCGATCAGAAAGCACACCATTTTGGTTGTGATGCTGCTGCTGTCTCGCTTGTATTTACCCAGGGGAAATTCAGTCCGAGAAGTCCCATGTCCCCTTGTCAGCATGGCTGGCTGGGGAATGCTGGGAAATGTAAGATATGCCCAGAATTGTATGCCTAGTTGTTGAGGTGAACCTGGCATTTTTGGCTTTATTCCACCGTTGCGGTGCTCCAGGGACCTGTGACGATATCGGTAAACCAAGCCTTTTCCTCTCACCTTCCAGGTGGCCCCAGCAGGGTGAATGTCAGCATCTTTCCCACGACGCCGTTGCCGAATGGCACGCTCTACGCAAAGAAACACGACGTCCTCAACTTCACTTGCAGCAGCGACTCCCGGCCGGAACCCACCACGGAGTGGGATTTCAGCCAGCCCAATTCCACCCACGAGCTCTTTGCCACGGTCAACAGCTCCCTGGGCTACTTCGTCCTCCATAACATGCTCCCTTCCTACCAAGGGAATTATTCTTGCTCGGCCACCAACCCGCTCAGCCATCGTCGGGTGACTGTGACCCGCGAAGTCTTGATCTACTGTAAGTATCCTGGAGTGATGCTCGCGGATCCCTGCGGTGGAAATATTGCCCTATGAATGCTCGGTCCTGCAGCCAGGAGCCAAGAGGAACAGCTCATTGCATCCGAGGAAGTTTTAGACAGCTCCAGGCTCAACTCCTAGTAGTCTCTGGCAGCTACCCGAGGGGCGTAAACCAACTTCCTTGCTGTCCTGGGCCACCATTTAATTCCCTCTTCTGCTGTGACATCACTCGAAGACAATTAAAATGTTGGCTTGCCTGTGGGCAGGTCAGGCAGAGTGTCAGCGCCTCGCCCAAAGTCGCCCAGTGAGTGAACTTAATGGCCAAGGGAGGACAATAAGCTGAATCTCTTGAGTCCCAGCCCAAAACTTTCACCACTGTCCCGTATGTGGATGAAGTAAATTCTTATGAGATGGTTCCTTGCCCCACTGCCTAGCCCTAAATAATATTCTTCCCTGAATGTGGACCATCCATTTCCCACAATGCCCATAGCATCTCTTCAGGGTGTTCTGGGAAATTGCAATGTGGGTTTGCATGCTTCGCTGGCCCAGGGATGATGGCTTCCCACTCCTACTCTCCAGTGCCAAATTGAGGCTGGTGATGCAAGCACAGATCTCTGACTTTCTGAGGCAGTCCATGGCATGGAGGTTTCTTTTCCCAACTCCCAGCAGCCCCTGCCAGTTGGGCAATATGTGGGCTGATGGGAGTTGTAGTCCAACATCTCTGGGGGTTACCAAGCTGAGGGAAGCTCCTGCTGATAAGTCCAGATAGATTTTGTTTTGTTCTTTATTACTTAGAACATTTACAAAGGTATTTATTCTGCCTATAAGTATAATCATATTCCTCTTGCACAATTTTGGGGGGTCTTGCAAGAAGCCCACGGTGGCTCCCGCAGTCATCTTTTCTCCATTGTTATCTTCACAGCAACCATGTGAGGTAGGTCAGTCTGAGAGGCAGTGACTGGCTCAAAGCCACCCTGTAAGCTTCACAGCTGAGCAGCAACTAGTTGGATGCTCCAGCCCTTGAACACCACCACCTAAAGGAAGGGGTACCTGGAGGACCCCCACCCCCCTTCAAGCACCCTGGTTCAATATGGGAAAAGGCCATTTGTCAGCTAATGTTGAGCCTAAACCAGGATAGACAGACTTCAAATTCCAAAGTCTACCTGTTAAACACTATGGAACGATTACAAACTATATTAATATTCCTATGATTAAAATATTCTTGCCATGATTAGTATTAATGCTAATGCCAGGGATGGCCCAAGAGAGATCCTGGCCCAGGGCAAGGCTGCGTCCCATGCCCAGGCCTACTGGTTGGGAAAAGACAGCCTTGGTCTGGAGCCGGCGGTCAGACTAGAAGGCCCGGGAAACCCCTTCTGACTCGCTCTGTTTCTATGTCTTGATCAGACTATTAAGAGAAACACCCTGAAATGCATCAGGGCTTTTTGTTTGCAAAGGAAAGTAAAACCAAGGTGGATCTGTGTGTGAACTTACAGGAATGCTTTTTCCCCACCTCATTTTTTAAAATGGTGCGATAGGTATTGAGAGAGTTTGGTCTCCCTGACTCTGCCCTTTCTGCAGCTACGCCCAACCTTGGAGCGTGACCGACTAGTCTCGTATTACAAGACAGCTCAAAGGCATCTGGTTTGTTTGCTTGTTCCAGGGTGGGACCCTTGCACTGAAAAGCAGGTTCTGGGGCTAAGTCCAGGCAGGCAGAGGCTGAAACGTGGTGCTGATATTAAGTCTATTTGCATCATTAAGGCATTCCCCGCCCCTTGTCTGAGGCATCATACTCATGAATGGCATAATTCTGTGCAAATTTGCAAAGTTTAGAAAAGTCCTAAACTCCCTGAATGGGCCATTGGACAGCTGTAGGCCTTCTTCTAATCCTGTCTAATCCGGCCAAAGAGTATAAAGCTAAATACAAACATTAGCACTCTTATGTTACATTCTTATCCTGCCTTTTTTCCTCTTGCAAGGAATCCTCTTGGTTTATTATAAACAAGTGGACACTAGACACAAACAGTTTTTGTTTTTAATTGTTTTTAAATTGTGGATTCAAGATACTTGTTGCATGATCGGTTTAGTATTATTTACATGATATTTATTATTCTTAGCTGGCTTAACAGCTGCTTCCTGGTGGAAAAGCAGGGGACAATTAAGGGGACGATCCTACACATGTTTCAACAGAAAAGAGTCCTAGTATTCTCCATGCTGGCTGGGGATGCTGGGTATTGTAGGACATTCTCCTGTCTGTTCACAGGTCTGTGCCAGAAATCAATAGAGCATCCAATTTTAGTCCCAGGGGGAATAAGCCCTGTGAAATGAATGGGACTTAAATTAGCCGGGACTTAATTAAGTGCTGTGGGTCTACTCTGCATACCACGAACACTGAAGACTACCCATAATAACTAGACTGCAACTAAATGTTGCAGCATGGAGTGCTCTTGTTCAGTTGTACCTTCTTCTAGGATAACCTTGTTCCATTTGGCCTCTCTCATGGTTTGTTCTGAGGGTCCCACACCAACTTAGCGTACCCAGTTCTTCCTGGGTGCCTTTGGAGGGGTTTCTCTGCCGAGAGATTTTGCTAAGCATTGTTTGTATGTCTTCAAATCTGGCATTTCGTACCCTGCCCTTCCCGAGCCCACAGAGACTTCCTTCTTTAGAAGCGGGTGGTGTGTTCTGGCCCTAGAAGGATTCAGAACCAACTTCTCCAGGAACTTATCCTTTTAAAGCCCTCTACTATCAGGATAAATGCATTTGTTGAAATGGTATGAATTGTTCCCAGATTTCTCCACAGGGTTTAGCCGTTCCAACGTGGGCTGCTTTTGGTATCCAGTTAATTTTATAAGGTTTTACTTCCAGACCCTCCACCGGCACCACCCCGATGCTGGGCTGAGACCTCCACCGGGGACCCCGGTGGGGTGCAGCTGTTCTGCAGCTGGCCAGGGGGCTACCCACACCCCACCCTCCAGTGGAAAACCCATCCCAATCTGAGCTGGGCCATCAACACTACCGCTGCAGAGGACTCCGCTGTGGCTGTGTTGAGCGGCTCACACCTGCTCCGGGGGAAGGCCTTTACCTGCCACGGCAGCCACCTGGTGGATCCAGAAGGAAGCCGAGCCTGCACCGTGCAGCTGGGTGAGTCGAGCAGTTGGCCGGGATCATCCGCTTGGGGTCTGCTAGCCCAAAGCAGGACTGTCGTCTTGCTCTTGGGACCGTCTGTTGCAGCCTGAACCACAATGTGCAGAAAGCATTTTGCACTGCAAGAGACCAGTCGCTCCGGGCAGCCCTGGCAAGCAAGCCAAGTTGCTCCTGTTTAACACTGGCCACTGGCAGGTATAGTTGTGGCCAAAAGACCAGATGCTTCCCGGACCTATTGCTTGCTTGGTGTTACACCGATACCGCGCTCGCTTCCTCCTGCAAGGAGCCCAAAGCAGTTCTCGCCCACAGTCCTCTCCTTGCTATTTTATCCTCACAACAACCCTGTGAGGTCGGGTAGGTCAGGTGATTTCTCAGCGTACACCTTTCCTTCTCTCCCCTGTGTTCTGCTGGATTTAGAGGGCCCGGAGATCTCTTCCGACCCAATGAGGAGCTGTTTTGTTGGGAGAGCTTCCACCTTGACCTGCCAGTTGACAGCCGGCAATCCGCCAGCCAGGGTCACCTGGTTACGAAACCTCTCCCAGCCAGAGACAGAGATCCGGTCAGGCGGGAGGTTCCTCATCAAGCAGACGGGCAACTCCTCCATCCTTTCCATCCAGAACTGCTCCCATGCGTTGGACGCAGGTTACTACGTCTGCAAGGCTGAGAACCCCCTCGGGCTGCGGGTGACGTACACCTACCTAGTGGTGACTGGTAAGTGGCAAGGTTTGAACTGCAGGATGGTGGCAGGTCGGGAAATGATGGTGGATGAGCCAGAGAGGCCAAGCGTCCCGGCCCTTCTGGCAAGTCCAAGTCCTTCTCCATGGGGCTTGGGAGAAACTGGTACATGGCTCCCTTTTCACCACGAAAGCGAAGGGTGGCCGATTTCAGGGGATCTGCTTCGTTCTCTGATCTGGGGATCCCCCAGGAACAACAGGCAGAGACAGAACTGAAGAACTCCAAGGGTGTATTTTGAGGGCTGGAACTGGTGCCCAGGCTCAACCTGCTTGGGCACCTGCCAAGGATGGGCATCCCAGCAGGGACCCATGGGCAAGCATCCCTGGACTTGGTCCTCATCTCCACCCTTGCAACCGGCCTGCTTTCTGCCTCTTGCTCTGGCCCAGGCACTGTGGCTGCAGGGCTGCCCCAAACAGGCAGATAAACCCGGCTTCTCCCAGTCCGTGTCCCTCAGATGGCTTGGACTAAAATGCCCATCATCCCCGGGCAGTGGAGGGTGTTGCCGTGTGGTCCTGCATTGCTGGGAGGTGTTAGTCCAACACAATTGGAGGAACTTGTGTTGCTATGCCGCTGAAATAAAGGCAAAGCGGGATTCTGTGCTGGTCAGAGCATGCTGGAAAAGGCAGGGCAGGCCCCTCCTCTGTCAAAATGAGCAAAAGTCGCATCCTGAATATCCAAGGCTGTGTCACTGCTTCTCTTGTTTGAGCACAGAGCCAGTGAACATCGCGGGCATCGTGGGAGTGGTTGTGGTCCTTTTGCTCGTGGGAATTCTGATCGTTTCTGGTGTCCTCCTGTATGCAGGACCACACTGGTGCCCTAAAGGTAAGAGCCACTTAGAGCAGCGGTTCCCAAACCGTGTGCCACAGAACCCCAGGGTTCTGCAAAAACCTCAAAAATCAAATTTAAAATAGATTTTAAAATGAAACCACTCGAGGACAACTATTTGATTGTCCAAGTAGCAAACAAGGAAAGGCATCATGTTGTTTGGTTCCTAGGACTCGGTTTTATAGTGTTGGGAACAATCGAAAGCATTCATTCAGGATATGACCATATAATCGCTTTATTCATTCATTATATTTAAAATGTTTTCTCTTTATTTCCAAACTTACTGTGTTATGCAAAGCACTCAGGCAATAGGAGCAGATGAAAGAAGGACGAATATTGTGGGTTCACAATGCTTAGTAAAAAAAAAACAGGGATAGAGTTAGGGTTCCACAGAAAACAAAAGTCTTCAGAAAGCTTCCATGACTGGAAAAATTTGGGAACTGCCCCGAAGTGGAGCTGGAAGGCAAAAGAAACCAAAAGACCTGAGTCACAGGAGATATTAATAGTGCATTATCCCCAGAAGATCTTTCCTGCAGGAGAGGCATATGCCTTTATGGAGAGGCATATTCAAGGTAGCATTCAATGAGATAATCAGAACCCAGACCAAAGGTTAGAACCAGCTCTTCAAATTAGGCTCAGAAGCAAACTGCCCATCAATGCCACTGTTTCGGAATAGCACTGTCTCTTTGCATCATCTTCTGCCCACCAAGGAGGAAACTTCATTCCGTGACAACTGAAGTTTCTGAACTGTCTTCAAGGGTACACCCACATAGACAAAATTACTGTAGTCTAGCCCAGTTATACCAAGCTCTGGTTATCTCAAATCAGGATTTGGAAATAATGCGCACTCTCAGTTTCTTGAATGTGGTAGAAGAAGAATTAAGGGTGTTCTTTGCCATCTCTTGAAGCACTTGACTGATAAAACAAAAGCTTCCATGTTAACTAAACTGTCGTCTTTCTCTCTCTTCCAGAGTACATACTCAGGTGAGTATCTGTTTCTTCAGGATGTCTTCCGAGGGGCAGGGTGGCGGTGGGTGAACCTCTGCACGAAACCCAGAACCATTGCCAGTCAGAAGACACAGCCTCCCCCACCAGGTTGTCCTCCAAGGCAGTTCAGATTCTGCTTCCATAAGCACTGAGTCCTGGCCAGTGGGCAAGGATGTTGGAAGGTGTTCAAGAATATCTGGAGGTCACCAGGCTGGGGAAGGCTGGACGAAAAGTCTCGCAATTTCATGCAAGGCAGCGTCCTGTGCGGAACTGCCATCTGCAGGTCCGAGGCGTGGAGCCAAACTTGCTAACAAAAGCAGTTCCATATTGTTGCTTGTCTTACTTATGATATCTATGGATTTCTCTACCATCCAATAGCTGATGGTCTCTGACGGGTTCACAATATTTGGGAAGCTTCTGAAGGGGGAGCCATCCAGGCAACCGGTGGCCAGAGCCAGCCACTGGCGGTGGTGGTGGTGGTATTCACCACCGTACCTTTCCCTGTGTGCTTTATTTAGCTGGCCATTTTGACCATCTAGAGATACAGTCCTGAGGAGCGGAAGGGAAGGAAGAAGGGTTTGGTATATACAGATGCTTCCTCCCACCACCTTCTCCCTGGCATCTCCCTCTCCCATTTATCTCTGGCACATTTGCCCTCTCCAAGGCCAGACGGCTGGTTATTTTCATGCCAGCCACGAGGTGGGGAGGGGAGGGCTTCAGCCTTCAGAGCTCCGGCATCAGGGTTGCAGGACCATCTTGCTTGCCCTTCCAAAGGATCCTGTGCCCCTTGCTGATGTCAGGAGGCCCTGAAATTGCTTCCTAAAACCGTTGGTAACTGAAGGCCTTTTGGCCTTTTAGAGTGTGGGAGGAGAGACAGCAATGCCAGGATGCCACGAACGGATCAGTGGTTGAAGAAAAGGCTTCGGAAAGGGGGTGTGATCATCCAGGTAGCTGTCCATGCACCTGGAGTCCCCCAAACTCGTCCCAAAAGCTGAAAGAGAGAGTCTTCCCTGAAATGGAAGCCCCACTATGCAAAACCCCAAAACACAATCGATTCCCTTCCCAATGGATTTCCTTCCTTCCCCTGGTCTGCCACACAGTCAGCTGCATTGGTCGTGATCCAGCGCTAAGCAACCTCTGCTGGATCATCTTGTATCCACGGGTGTCAAGGAAGGGAAGCAGAAAACGGGCTTTCTGATGGTTCTTCGATCTTGCCTGTAGGAACCGTGATGCGAGTGATATGCTTGTGCTGATGGACTCGGAAGAAGAGGATCCGCTGGCGGAAACAGCTGGGGAGACGGCTGTGGTTCCAGCTGCATCTTTGGCGAACGGCCGCTCTACCGGGGTTGCTGAAAGTAAGCTGAGAACTTTGGCCTGAACGCTTCATGGAGTGGGCTTCTGCGGCTTGGCGGTGTGTCGTCATGCCCTGCAGTGGCCTGTCCTGGTGACCAGTATGGACCCGAAGAGAGCCCAGATGGGCCCACTGAGAAAAGGGAGAGGCACTGGCATGTCCGGGGAGCAACCCTGAAGCTGCCATACGTAGACCCCTAAGGGGGCTGACCCCCTTTCTGCCAACACAGCCCATGGTGGCCTGAGCATGTCCCATTTGAACTGTTAGCTAGACGAGAGCGGAAAATGAAATCAGCGGGATCAAATGAGGATCCTGGAGGAGAGCATCGCTGCCCAGCTGGGAGAGCCTGAAATAGGAGTGTTTCTGTTAAAAATAACACCTCCCAAGCCTTCTCCGTTTCTCTGGCAAGGTTGTTTGCTGTTACACTGGAGGAGCTCCACAGGCGGGCAGGGATAGAGCCCATAAGACCGAGGGGTGTCCCTGCTTCTAGCAAGGAGGCCGAAAATACAGTCCCTGCTCATACAGCTTCCGCTCAACTTGGCACATGGCAGATGTGCCAGGCTGCACCTCTCAGCGTTGTCCGGCTAGCTGTAGGAACCAGCACTTTGAAATGCCTGCTAAACAAGCCCAACCACCAGAGAGGCTGGTAGCCTGCCAATAGGCCCAGTCTCTTCTGTCTGCCTGCATAGCTATACCTGGAGTGAGCATGTCAAGTCACCTTTGCTAAGCAGGAAAGGTGAGGGCCTGCAGCTGGATGGGTGACCACAAGTGGAAATGGAGTGGGGAGTCGGACACGCTGGCCTTATAGGTCCCTTCCAACTCTGCTTCTGTTCTGTTCTAGGTTCCCATTCCGAAGCGCCCACTGAAATTACCCTGGAGGAAACCAGAACAGAGGCACAAGCCACCATGTAGAGGAGCACTCTATCTTTGCCTTTACGTGTGAGGAACCAAAGCATCCGCGCAACACGGACCAGGGAGGATGGGGATTTTGGGCAGCCGGCTCACATTCGTTCCTTGCCCACCCCGCCGCCTGCCTTCCCCTTTCCACTTGTTGCCTTTCGCCCCACAGCTGCCTCTTTCATCTGTCTCCTTGTTGGACTGTGACTTTGGAACGTGGGGCCCCTTCAGTGGCACCTCTGGCTCTGCACCGTGGGGGTGCAGGTCTGGGGCTCCATGGTCCAGGAAGGCCTCCAAGCGCCCACCAGCTGGTGGCCACAGAATGGCGGGGTGGCCATGATGCAGAAATTGTGCCTACGTGCAGGGGACGGGAGCAGGGTGGCTTCCTCCTTTGGAAAGAGGGCCGAGACAGTAGCGATGAGCTTCCACAAGCGAGAAGCCCGCTGGAGCAGCAGAGAGAGAGGGCTTGTCCAGGTGAAGCTCCATCCTTTGCCTGCAGGAGTCCCAGGTTTGGATGCAGCATCTCCAATAGGGCTAGAAAAGGGTGGCTTGGGACCCTGAGGAACTGCTGCTGCCAGTCTGTGTGGGAATACAGGGCTAGGTGGACCAGGGTGTGAATCAAGGTAAGGAAGCTTCCAATGCTGTCCAGCGTGGATTTTCCTTGGGAACGGAACATGGACAAGGACAAAGGCTACGATTGCCTGCGTGTTCCCTTCCCTTATGGGCATTTTTATCAGCAGATAAGTGAAAGCAGGCTGAAGGGGTGTGTTTCGGGTCTGACCTTAAATTAGGTGTGTCCTCTGCACATTCTCTCTTCTGGAATTCTCAGGCGTACACCAACTTCAGGTCTAGGGTTAGTCAATCCTCGCAGCAGCCCCTGGCCAGTGACCCTCTGAGCTTAAGATGGGCAACTCTCTCCCTTTCAGTTTGTCAGTTTCCTCTTTTCCTCATCATAGGATCATTTTGAACCCCTTTCTGCATCAGTTCGTGAATTTCTGTGGGGGTGGATTTGGGGAGGACGTGTGCCGATCCATATCCAGCTTTGTGCATTTCTCTTCGCATACGTATCCTGGAACACGCGAGGCTGAGCGTGTGCGCTTTGCGAGCGACGGTTCTCCAGATGCAAATGCACTTTTCTGCATCCCCCCCGCCATACATGCATTTTTGTGGATTTCCAATGTGCACATTCTTTTGACACTGAACATGGGGATCGGGGCACACAAGTGTATTTGGGTTTCTCTACAGCAGGGGAACACAACCTCTTTCTGTGCAAGGGCTGAATTTTAGTTTTGGAAAGCTGGGTTCCTTTCGTGGGTGGTGCTGAACCCAAAAGGGGAAGGGCCGCCACTGCCTCATTCTTTATCCTGAGTTCACAATTCTTGCTATCAGGAACTAAGCCTAGTTCAGCTTTCAAGAATGAAGGAAAACTTCCCCAAGGCTGAGAAACAAAGCAATGTTCCTTGCCTGGGGAAAGCCAGGGGCAGGGCCTTCTGGGAAATCCCAGGGGGCAGTCTGGGGCCTGCAGAGGGTGTTTGGATCCTGTGCCGGAGGTCCTGGGTGTGGGTTCAGGAAGTGCAATCAGAGATGCTTGTATTCCGAGGACAAGATTCTTTCCGTCCATGGCCTGAGTTGTGCATGAAGGTGAGCAGTCTGAGGGCACAGGGGTGTTTTACCTGGTGAAGGGGCTGTTAAGGGGAGGGGCATGCCAGCACTCAGGAGCCTAGCCAGGTGTTGGTCTGTGACCCAGAGTCCCTTGTCCTCTGCATTTCCGGTCTTCTGCAACAGGAGACTCTAACTACTAACTACTGCACTTGAAGAAGGATGCAGTCATCTCCTTGAGGCTTCTGCCAGAGAAGCAGGTGGGTCCCCCCACACCTTTCCACCTGCACATCTGTCTATGCAACTGCCTAGGCTCACGGGATCTGGCAAGATACTTACTTGGGGAGAAGGCTTAGCTTGCAGCAAGCCTGCTTCCAAACAGCTGCAAAGAAGCAAATTTTGATTCTATAAATGTATCTGCGGAAGTGATTTTTTTGGTTTTGCTGAGGAATAAATGTGTGTGTATATTCTGAATGGATTATTTTGCATTTGCCTGATGGTGTGTATTACAATCGGGTGGAGGGATGCCTGGATGTATGTTAGGTGGAAAACTTTCTCATTTGCTGTATATTCACTTAAAGTGGTGTTACGACAATTTCCTACAGAACTTCTGCTACTAAGGGTACCGTTATCCACACACAGCATCACTCCACTTTCCACCTTCACTGTGCATCACAATAAAAGCCCCACTGGTACGGAGCGGCATTCAATTAAGGAGTGTCTGCCAAGTAGATAGCTCAACAAAGTAAGCCAGGATGCAAACTCAAATTGGGTATATACACAAGCCATACAGTTATGAGACGCGAAGAGCAGAAATTCTGGGAAACACTCATTGTAGATGATCATACTAACATTGTCCAGGATTTTTTGACACATGAGCTAATGTGGTTTGGTTCTGAGGATTAATCTTTCTGCCTGTGTGTGGTTTTCTCCATCAGCTCCTAAAAAGCAGGTGGGTTTGCAGAATCCTCTCTTCAGTATGTAAAGATGCATGGCAATCTATCATGGGGATGCTGCTAGAATTTCCTTGCTTCTGTCACCTGTGCTGTGAGTTACCCCAAGGAATTTGCTCGGGCATCTCTGCGTCTTTGGTAGCTGACAGAGAATAAGCAGGGTCTGACTCCTGGCTTGCATCAAGTGGTGGACAGACTCAGCGTGAAGTCTTAAATTTTTCAAGGCATGTCCACATTTCCTGGAGTGCCTGCAATGCAAGATCACAGAGCAGGGTAAGAAAGCCCTTCGCTGGCAAGGCTGGAATGTTAACTGTTGGTGAAATTCCTGAGGCCCGATCACTGGGGGAGTTAACGCAGAGGCTGGATATGCCCACAGCACCAGATTCCTGCACTGATCCCAGGCCTTGTTCCCCTCCCTGCAGCACATTCATTCAATCAGATAGGCCTTTTGGTCGGATCCTGTGCAGCTCTTTGTACATACTTAATCCGTAAAAAAAATGTTGTCATTAAGGTGGCACAAGGCTTGTGCTTTGTAACTGCAGTTAAGTGATGGATGCTTCTTGTGCTTAGGGTTCATTCCTAGACTGGCCATGGGAAGCCCAAAAGCTTATACTCGGCTTCATCCGAGGCTGCAGGGGCACCCTGCATAGGCCAGGGCAGCACTGTGGCCCACAGGGACCAGGGGGCCGGCATGGCATGGCAAGGCAATTCCAAACCACGGGTGTCTCCTGCTGTAGTTCTTCCGCAGTGGTTCTCTGCTGCATCTGGCAATACGCACACAGGCCCCCACGCCCTTCTTGGGAGCAAAACTGTTTCAGGAAGACAATCCGTGTCTTCACAGCAACAGCAGCCCTTGTCTATAGAATGACTGGTGCAGGCGGCTCCAAGGTCATTCTCATGCTCTTAAGTAAAGACCATCAAAACAATTCTTGCTTTTGGACACTTGGGAAAGGCCACTATGCTGTCCCTTGTACTGTAATCACCTCTTTCCCGTTCTTGTGGTAGGCTCCCTTTAAACTCAGCAGAATTTACTTTTGAGTAAACAGGCCAAGGATGACCTGCATCTTAGCAGGTGACAGCTAAGCAGCGCGGTCATCTTAGACCCTGATTTAAGCAGGGGAAAGCTCAAGATGCCCAGCGCCGTCCCTTTAGCTGTGAAGCTCATCGCTCCTCTTCCACCGCCCCAACCTCTGTCCTCCGCTTTACAACATCGCCATTGCGTTAGAAGAAGAAAATGTGGCCAGCCCCCCCCCACCCCGCTTTTTTCTAAAGCAAGCATACTCTGACCATGTGCAGTTCTGCATTTTAAAACCGAGGCGGTTCTGCTGCGCGAAACCTTTTCAGTCGTCACGAGGACGGGAACAGAACCGAGCAGCCTGCTGCTCTGGGGGGGTCGTGGCGGGGCGGGGCGGGGGCCCCCTGCGCTGCGGGGCCGCTGGGCTCCGGCTGCCTGGTCCAGCCCCGGCGGGCTCGCTGCAGCCGCGCGTCAGCGGCGCGGGAAGAAGTCCCCGCGTTTGGAAAAGGCCCGCGCGCCCGCTCGCAGCGCTGCGCCCCGGGCGCACCCAGGGCCGCCCCGCTGCTCCCGCGGCGCCGCCGCTCGTGCAGCCCGGCGCGGAATCAGGCCGCAGGTCCCTCCCCTCCGCGGACATCATGTGACTGCGAGGGAAGCGCGGGGAGGGGGCGAGACGGGAAGAGGAAACGCTCCGGTCGCCGGGCTTGCCGCAGCTTCCCATGCGAGCCGGATGGAGGTGCCGGCGGCGGATCCCCGCCGGTGGCGGTCGCTGCCGGAGAGCGAGACAGCGGAGGGTGAGCGGGCTCGGCGCCGGTCCTCCCACCCCCACTTTCTCCCTTCTTCCCCCGGCTCCCCGGCTTCCCCTCCGCGCGTAAAGGGAGCGGGGAGGGGGCGCTGCGGCTCCCTCTGCCCCCTCCCCTCCACAGGCGAAAATGGGGACCCGGCACCGGCGCCTGGCTTCCTTCCTCCCGGATTAGCCCCAGGTCTTCCTGCAGCGGGGCGGGAGGTGACTGTAGCTTTGCGCTTCAGTGGCAAGGGGCTGCCGGGAGGGGTGGGCAAGAATCACCTCTGAGCCCGGCTTTTCCCAACCTGGTGCCCTGCCGGGGCGTTGGATGCCAACTCCTAGCTTCCCCAGGTGGGAGAAGGCAGTTTCAAGGGCTAGGTGCGTTCCCTGTTGGCCCCTTTTGTATTAAGCCAACCCTGCTGAGTTTGGGGCTCTCCTGCTGAGGGGCGGGAGGAGTCGACTCCTGTTTGGGGACAGATTGGGACTCCTGTGCCAAGGACCAGTTCTGCCCCAAAGACAGCTCTAAGACCCTCCTGGTGCATCTTTGGTCGGAGAGAGAGAATCAAACAACAGCCCATAATATAACTGACGTCGTTACACTGGGGCAAAGTTCAAGATCCTCAGCGTTCAAAGCGCTGTGCCTTACCGTGCTTCTGTGCCTTGTATTTCTGGCGTGGCTTTCTTGGTGCCACACCTCTGCATTCCAGCGCTTGTTTTCCCCACCTTCTGTTTTAAGTATTGCTTAGCTGCATGTAGGCGAGCAATAAAATGACATGTGTGTGCACACAATCCTGTGTTCATGGAAGAAGATAGGACTCTAAAAGATCACAAAACCTCTCTTGGCTGCTGTTTGTTCTAGGATGGAAATGAGCAGTGACTGGAAAATAACTTGCTTTAAATTTTAACTGGGTATGTTAAAAATGATGAAAGTGCAGTGTTGGCTTATGATGGCCTGCAACCTTATGACATTGATGAGGACGGACATGACTCACAGTGATGTTTCTTCAGCTTTTTCTATGGACGATCCTCACTTCACCCCAGTGGCAGTTTTGCTTTTGCTGCTTTGAAAGGTCTGTTCAGTATGCCTCACCCCTCGTTCTCCCTGCTCTTTTTCTAACTCTCTGAGCACTCCTGCATCAGTCCCAGGGCATAAAAGGGCAGCCTCTTGCCCGTGCATGACGCCCACCTAAGCGACGGTGAGTTCTTACTCCTATGGGAGTCTCTGGGCAAATGTGCCATCGTGTGGTTGAATACTTGGTATTGATAAAAAGCTGGTATTGATACATTCTTGTGTGCCGTTTTCCCCAGGCGAACCCCTCCTCGTGGCTGAACTAAAGCCAGGACGGCCTCAGCAGTACGACTGGAAATCAAGCTGTGAGACGTGGAGTGTGGCTTTCTCCCCAGATGGTTCCTGGTTTGCCTGGTCTCAGGGCCACTGTATAGTAAAATTACTCCCCTGGCCATTGGAGGGGACTGAGCAGTGAGTATCCATGTTGGATCCAGAGGGCTTATTGTTCAGGGTCTAGGCCAATGCTGGAAGGCAGCCACGGGCTGGAGGAGGGCTAAAGCAAATTGAAGCTGAGCCCAGGCAGGGCCTTTTCACTGGTGGCTCCTCTTTGTTGGAACTTTCTCCCTAGAAAGAGAAATGTGGCCTCTTCTTTGATTTCTTTCAGATAGGCCCTGAAGACATTGTTTAAATGTTGGTCTGCTTACAGGTTAGGAATGGTTTAATGGTTGTTTGGGTTTATTTTTGGAGCCTTTTAAATTGTCCATAGAGTTGTTGGTCTTGCTGTTACGCCATTTTTAAAGCTAATGATCCAGCTGGGGACTCTTCCTGATTGCTTATGGCTCAAATCAGATGTCTTGGGGGAGCATTGTTTTATGGGAAATAGCCTTTTGATTGCACTCAGCTCTGACTGAGCTGGAAAGTGGCTGTCTTCAGCCGTTCCTGGCTCATGACTCGAATTTGGGTTTTGAGCTAACTCGTGGACAGACCTTCTCAACGAAGGCCAGGCTGCCTGTTCAGCACAGGTGCCTGGTGGAAGCCTTCTGGGGACCGACCTGGCCAGGGCTGGCTCCCAGTTTCGGAGGACTCTCATTCAAGGCATCCTGTATGGGCCTCTCTCTCAGGGCCTCGCCTCCTCCTCCTGGGTCAGGAGGAGAGGCAGGAGAATCCTCAGTTGCGAGGGTGAAAGGACAGACCACCCCAGGAGGCAGTTGTCAGCGGGCCCCTGCAAGAGGAGGCTCCTTGGCCAATGTCCAGCCATGCCTACCCCAGTGGAGACCGAAGGAGAAGTCATTGCATTTGAATGCTTTCTTGAGATGTTCCATGTATAGAAAACAAGGCAGGGAGCTGTACTAGAGCCCCAACGCTTGGCTTTTCACAACGCCTTCCTTCAGCTCTTTCTTCCCGCAGTGTGGCTTGGTCCCATTTTACAGGCAGGGAACTGAGGCTGAAAGAGAATTACTTGCCCAGAGCTTTGCAGCGAAGGCTGCGGTTTACCTTACTCATGGGTTCCTTGTGGCGTGTTGCATTGTCCATGGTGTAGATAGATATGGGAAGGAGGCAGTCCCATTTCTTTAGATAGGGGGTGCTAATAGGCTGGACATGCCCATCGTAGGCATGTCGTGAGTGGAGCCGGGGTCAGACTAGATAGCCCAGGAAGCCCTTTCTGACTTTCTGTGTTTCTAAATGAGCCACTTCTGACTCCCTTCCACTTTGGTAACATACCACCCCATCTCTGCTCCCCATAGGAGCTGCAAACCGCTGGAACGCAAGAGCCAGTGCACGAAAACAGAGCCCTGGGGCCGAGGCGGGGCCAAGGAGAAGACGCTGGAGTGTGGGCAGATTGTCTGGGGCCTGGCTTTCAGCTCCTTGCTCCCCTCTCACTCCAGGAAGCACATCCTGCGGGTGCCGAGCGTTTCCTGCTTGGTCCTTGCCACGGGGCTGAACGATGGTCATATTAAAGTCTGGGAGGTGCAGACAGGTAAGCTCCTCTTCTTCAGTGGAAAACTGGACTCATTCTGAAACTTCTCTGATAGCAGGGCATGCTCAGTAAAGCAGAACGCAGTTGCTACCAGAGTGGAGGAGAATGGAAATCACCCAGCAGGGAGATGGAGTGCATTGTTAAACAGGGGAGCTGGTTTATCTGTTTGTTTATTTAATTTCTATTCCACCCAACAGCCAAACTTCCCAAATGTGTGCAACAGCATGCTTACAATACAATATTCAACTGAAACATAGCAAATGTCACAAAAGTTAACAATATAAAGTTAAAAACCAAATAAAAACTAAGTTATATATTGAGGAGACCCAGTTAAGTCCTGTCTAACAAGTAGTAAGCCCTGGTAAGTAATTATGTGCCCTGAAGTCGAGGGAAGCACTGGAAAGATAGTACTGTTGGTGGCAGGCAGGCCAAAGCTGGTTGTCCGAAAGAGCTGCAAGCACCCAAGGCTGAGGTGCAGGATCTCCAGCCCATGTGCCACATCCACCACTCCCCCTCCCTTTTGGCCATGGCCATTCCCTTCTCCCTTTTCGGTGGCGTGGCGGATTCTGTGCCGTTCCCTCCCCGCTCGTTCTAAACGGTGGGGAGCCTCTCCGAGGCCAGCTTGGGAGGGGTCTTCCACGCGCGATGATGCCTTGCTGTCTGCCGCTGCTTGCAGGGTGTTTGCTGTTCAGCCTCGCGGGGCATCAGGATGTGGTGAGGGACCTGAGCTTCGCACCGGGCGAGAGCTGCGCGATCCTCGTCTCCGCCTCCCGTGACAAAACCCTGCGTGTCTGGGACCTGGGTCAAAACGGTAGGAGCGGGTAATATGAGACCTGTCTGAGGCTGGGCAAGAGGCATCCTTTCCCAGCCCAACTGGGGTCAGCTGGGAGCCCGAACAGCCTCTCGGCTTGTGTTGGCAGCCTCTGCGGCAACCCTGTGAGGAAGGCTGCCGTGCCTTTCCTCCTCTTCCCTTCAAGCGGGACGGGAGCAGATCTGGGAAATGAAGTGGGAAGATTTTGTTTTATTTTGTTTGTTTATTTGGAGCATTCTTATCCCATCCGATACAAAAGTCTCAGGACGGCTGAATCCTTTACGGCAGGGGATGGGACAGAAGTAGATCTCCAGAGGTTTGGAGTTTAAATTCCCAGCATTCCTGGCAACTGGCTGTGCTGGAAGGGGATTCTGGGAGGGGAAGTGCAAAACATTTGCAGGCTTACCTTCTGCCTTACGGTGCGTCACCAGAGATTTGGTGTGTTGGTGATGGTTACGAGGATGGCTAACTGCAATGGGCTGGCTGGTCTTGGTGGAACTCTTGCCGTGGCCACAAATTAGCAGAGCGGCTTCCTTCACAGCCACCATCTTTCTCCCTCAGCATCTCTATCTGCAGTATGCTGTGCTATTGTAAGTAACCCAGAGCTGGCACAACCAATTCTCTTGTGATCATTTATAAATGTATTATTTTACAGTATTTTTATCCTGTTTCTCAGCCCAAAGTCTCCTGGAGCAACTTACATATAATCAGTAAAATGAGATAGCTGGTGCCTGCAGAAAAACACATGGCACACAAGGAAGGGGTGAGGAGGAGGGAAGAGGAAAAAAACAAACTTCTCACAGATAGGGAAGTAGCCCTGTTCTCTCCGCCCTCCCCATCTGTCTCAGCACAACCTGCTGGAATGTCTGTTTGGAGAAGATCCTTCATGGGTGGTCTTCAGATGGGCTGGTGGGATGGGCCTGCTCTCCCCACTCATTTCCATCCCTCCTTTTCAGCCTCATGTGTCTTTTGTGGATCAATCTGAACCAGTGATGGAGAACCTGTGGCTCTGTAACTCCCATCATCTCTGATCACTGGCCATGCTTTCTGGAGGGCAGCCAATCAATGGAACCTGACAATGTTTAGCATTGTTTAGAGCAGGTCTTGGTGTGCCGGTGTGATTTCCACAAGATTCAGGGCAAAACCCTCGGCCCATCATGCACCCTCACCCTCTTCTGGTCGACTTTTCCCAGGGAAGGAGCTGAAGGTGTTGTCTGGACACGTGCAGTGGGTCTACTGTTGTTGCATCTCTCCCGACGGACACATGTTGTGCTCTGCTGCAGGAGAGAAATCGGTGAGTCTGGCCTCGTGCAGAGCAGGGCACGGTGTGTGGTCCGAAGGCACAGACGGTGTCCACCCTGTTGAAGCTAAGCATGGCTGGGGCTGGCCTGAGCTTGGAGGGGAGACCACTTGGGAACCGCATGTGGCCACCTTGAGTTCCACAGCGGGAGAAAGGTGGCATATAAATATTAGTAATAAAAATAATAGATAAATAAAACCCACGCACACTCATTGCAGCAGCAGCCGCTGCAAAGCGATACTTGAGGGCTGTGCCCTATGTGGATGGTTTTCTTGTTGTGCAAGGTACTTTTCCAGCTCAGAATTTAGTGGGATGAAACTTGTGGTTCGGATTAGATTCCGGAAGCAGGTGGCCAGCCTTCTTCCGAGAAAAGCTATAAATTCTTTTTAAAAAGGATTGGCTTGCAGTCCCTCAAAAGAGCTGTGAAATTGTGTGAAGTTGCAGTAAGGGGTTCTCTGTGGAAATCAGTAGGGAAATTTAAAGAAGCAACAGCTCCCCCAAACATGGAAGAGGAGACAACCCACAACACACTGCTGGAGACCCTCTTTCCTCAAGGCTCGCCTGGTTTGCCCCCACTCAGGCATGGTTGGGGCTGCAGCCTCCTGACCAGGGGACTAGTGAGCGGTGGTGTGGTATAGTGGTTACAGTGATGGACTGGGAGCTCCAGGTTCTAGTCCCCACACAGTCATGACACTCCCTGGGTGACTTTTGGCCCCACCTACCTCACAGGGTGGTTGTGAGGATAAAATGGAGAGAGAAATCTTACAAATCACCTTCTAAGGAAATAAAGATGGAACATAAATGTTGTAATACTTTGTTTTTAAAGGCCGCAGCGGCACGTTTACTTCTGGGAGAATTCATTCCAAATGTGAGCTGCGCGCAGCACAGAATGGCTCCTGCGCTGGAATTCCCCTCCTCACCCGGAATGTAACCGGAGTGAAGCTGACTGGAGGCTGGAGCCCCAGAACCGTTCGGAAGGAAACTCCTTGCCTTCCACTCCTGTGCTTACCGTCTCCCCTGTCCTGCTCCTAGGCCCTGCTCTGGAGCATGAGCTCGTATCGGCTGCTCCGACGACTGGAAGGGCACCAGGGCTGTGTCGTGTCCTGCGAGTTCTCTCCCGACTCGGCGCTTCTTGCCACTGCCTCCTACGACCAGTTCGTGATCCTCTGGGACCCCTGCACGGGGGAGCAGCTGAGATCCCTCTGGTAAGCAGCTGGCTGTGCCCAGCAGGCTTGGGGACACGATGTGCATCCAGTCGTGTTGATGAAGCTGCGGTTTCAGACATGGTGGGCAGGACACTGCTGTCCAGAATCGGGGAATGTTGTGCTGGGCTTGAAGAGCAGGCCCGGCAGGTGAGGGGAATCCGCTTCAGCCAACGAGCCAAATTCTGTTTCAGGGAAGCTGTTCCAGGTGTGGAGTGGCTCTCCTGCCAGGAAAGGGCGAATCATTTGGGGGTTTGGGGGCTTAAGGGAGAGGAAAAGAGGAGGAGGAGGAGGAGATGGGGGACAGAAGATAAAGCAAGTCCTGGGCCATGGTTAGCTTAGCTTGGTGTCTTGGGGGAACTGGGGTGGATATATTCATGGGCGGAGGGCTTGTTGTGCAAGGTCCCAGAAGAGCTAGGAGGAACAGGCTGAGCACTTCGTTTCCTCCTTCCTTTCCAGCCATGTCCCACTGCAGTCCGTTCTGGACCACGGCAGCGACTTCCACGCCAGCTCGCTGAGATCTGTCTGCTTCTCCCCTGAAGGCCTCTATCTCGCTACTGTGGCAGACGACCGGTGAGCTCTCCTGAGACGGAGCAAGATGCTCGCGCCTGCCTTGCCCGTGAGCCTTTTCCGAATGGAAGGAGAGCGGGGCAGGAGGGGGCTGCCCACGCTTCGCTCAGGCCATGGCTATGGCTGAACTTAGTGTCCGTGGAATGAGGAAAGGAGGGGACGGCCGGTGTTAAAGCAGGGACGGCCAGCTACGTAGCCCCTTACGTGTGGGACCCTATCCAGGGAGTGAGGGATCTTTTCCTATGAAGGCTGCTGGCCCAGGCGAAAAATGAGCACAGTTCAGCCCACGATAAGCAGAGTTTTCCATCTCAGTGTGTGTGCATGGGCAGTGGAAAAGGTTCTCCAGAAGGTCGTGTGGGGGAGCCAGATGCGACGTGGAGTTCGCTTACGGGATTCACCCCAGATGAGGTGGTTCTCCACATAAGAGACCAGCCCTTTTCTGCTTTAGGCTCCTGCGGATCTGGGCCTTGGAGCTCGGAAAGCCTGTTGCCTTTGCCCCTGTGAAGAACGGCCTCTGCTGTACCTATTTCCCACACGGGGGAATCATTGCGACGGGGTAAGTTCTGGGAAGCCACATCGCCACTGCCTTTTGTTCTCCTTAGGGGAGCGGTGTGCATGAGGATTGCAAAAACCCTCAAAGAACCCTGCAATGGCTGCTGGGCACTTTCGTGCAAAAGAAGTGAAGCATCTAGTCCTGATGCTTAAGAGAGCAGAGTGTGGCTCCAGCCGCTGCACTTTCCTGCCCCACCCCCTGATATGCCCCCACTAGCCCCTCCCCCACGAGGCCCAGTTGTGATCAGCAGGTGACGGCTGGCAGTTTCCCATGCCAGCTGTGAGCGGAAAGGTGGGGACTTGCCCTAAGCTTGGCCCTCCCCTTCTTGCCCGTAGGCTCCGAAACACCAGGCAGACTCTTTGCAATTAGACTGTCGTTGGCACTTCACAACTACCAGACAAAGTCACTTAAAAACCCCTCTAGTGAGTTGGAAGTCTAGCCTCTGCCCATGTCAAGAGTGTCAAACTGGGCACTTCTCCCCAGATCCTTCCCTTTCAGTAATGCCATGGGCTTCACCCTCCCGCTGGTAAAGGGCCAGCCGGCGAGACCTACACACGCTCGTCTCCCAGTGCCTCCTTGAGGAGTCAGGGACCCGCAAGGCCACAGCTGTCCCTCCTCCCCTTCTTGAAGCCCTCCTGCCTCTTCCAGAACATTCCTGCTTTCCGGTCGGCCTGGGAACCTGTGGGCAGGGTGCTTCAAAGGCCTCTGCCTCTCCCTGGGCTTCCAAACTTCCCACTGCCACCCCTTCAGAGCCCTCCCCTTCAGACCTCCAGCCAGGGTGGCTCTGGGATGACCAGCGAGAGCAGCAGTTGGCTTGGCCCCATACCCCAAGTGCCAGCTCCAGGGGTGCAGGTCATGGGCAGCAAGGCTAGGCCAGCCCTCTTTGGACGTGTGCTTAGCGGGTCCTTGCACTGCCTCCTCGGTTTCTTCCCTCATCTTGCAGGACAAGGGACGGCCACATCCAGTTCTGGACGGCTCCTCAGGCGCTCTCCTCTCTGAAACACCTGTGCCGTAAAGTCCTCCGTGGCCGCTTCTCGACTCACCAGGTCTTGGCGTTGCCCATTCCAAAGAAGATGAAGGAGTTCCTCACCTATAGGACTTTGTGACCCCGGCGAGGGCAGCGGCTCGACCGCATCTGCCTTTTTTATTCCTTCACTGCGGAGAGACCGTCACCTCCCCAAGGCTCATGCCATGCTTTGGTGCGCTGCAGCGCAGAGGGCCAGAGTCGGATGGTTTTCAGCCTGGGGCTGTGTGGCAGAGTTAACTTTCTGCTGGGAACAGTACCGCAAAAACTAGCAGCTGTGGAAGATGCATCCCATCCCGGGAGGCACAGAAGAATCGCTGCTTGGAGGTGCTATCATTTGGCCTGTGAATGGCTGCTGAGTGTTACTTTGCGGCTTCTCCTGGACTTGGATCACTTCCTTAAATGGAAACTGAAAATCTTTCGGGCTTGGAGGTGCTCTGCTGGTAGACGTCTAACCATATGCCCTTCATGCAGGGCCCAGCAGCTGGTCCCAGGATGCCCTGGGCATGGATAAGTGATACATTCATTTCAATGTTCGCTGTCATTTCAGGAGTGATTCTTCCTCCAAGGGACCAAATAGAACTGGAGACCTAATTTCTGTTTGAGCAGCAGAGGTATGCCAGAACTACTCCTCCTCCATTGGCTTTGATAACCTTCTTTTGAAGAAGTTGGAAGCATTAAAACAGAGGGAGGTCACCATGGTGCACAGAAGTTTCATCGGCAGCACCATCCTGGGCCTTGGGCAGACAGGTAATTTTCTCCTGTCTGTGCCAGGGCAGGCAAGTCGTGACCCTCCCGGTGTTTTGACTTCTCTGATCCAGCCCAGCTCACACGAGGGTTGGTGGACAGTGGGAGCTGGAGGCCAACAGGTTGCCCAGCCCTAGTCTATGCTAACACGAAAGACACTTTGGAGAACCTGACGGGAGAGGCCTGGATTTTCTGGTAACTCTGGTGAAGGTGTCACCTGGGGGTTTAGGGCTGAAAGACCATCAGTGAGATGCACCACCAGCAGCAGGACTCACTAGGTGTGGTACAACCCTTTTGATGGGCCACGCAGCCACATTCTTGTTCTATCCTTGCATAAATGCCACTTTAAACACACTTCTGAAATTGTATCTGGTGCAAGTTAACTTAAGAAGGTGCTAATGAATGTACTATGTTGAGAATAAACACCTATTGCTGATTTTTCTGAATAACAGATGTCAAACCTCTCTCAGCTCAAGGGTCAACTTCCATTCCAGAGAAGCGGGTGGGGTGGGGTGGGGTGGGGTGGGGTGGGGTGGGGTGTGGGGACACGTTTGCTTCAGTCCAGTAGCATGTGAGAGCAATCACAGTGATGGAGCCCCAAAATGCCAGCACATTTTAACATGAGCAGTACTTAAGCCTCAAGAGACACCCTTCAGCTTTTTCAAATGGCAAAGGAAGATGCACAGATGCCGGGAAACAACCAACAACCAAGATGGGAGAAAACGGTAGAGCCAAACAAAGGGTAGAGCCAAACAAAGGTTCCCAAACCTGGGAAATCCCACTGGGCCAAATGGAACCAGGCCTGTGGTTCTACTTCCCTGGATTGTAAAACAGAGGCTTTCGAGGTGAATGGGAGAAAGCCCCATTAAATCTTTAATGGATGCATTATGGCCTCTTCAGACAAAGTGGAATTAAGAAATGCTTAAGCTTGGCTTCCTGTGCATTCCTTCCCTTTTCCTCCCTACCCCCAACTTGGGGGCATGTGGGGTGGGGTGAAACCAACTGAAGGATCTGTGCTTTGCAGAGTCTCGTAAGAAGCAGCATCTCTGGAGATGCCGAGCCTGCTTTTTTTGTGATGAAATAGTAAATTACCTTTGAAAAATGGTTCAAGTGGTACAAGAGCAGTGGTCACATAAGGACAAGGGAGGTCATTACAGAGCATTTCTGTTCCGTAGCATTTTGCCCAGTCATCGAAACAGCACTTGATGGACAAGAAATACCGTTCAGCTGAAGGAACCTTAAAACCACAAGTTATAAGCTTTAATTTTACACTTTCGACATGGGTGCGATCAACTGGGGAAGGCAAACTGTGCCACTGGTGTGAGGAACTGTGACCCAAACTCTGCAGAAGGCTGGGCTTTTATGCTGTTTGTATTTATGCATTACCTTCACACTTGATTTGACCCTAGAGCCAGGGAGAAAAACCAAGGGAACTTGCCTGTGGCCCTTGATGTAGACTAAGGAACAGACTCCACGTGTTTTCACCGTTCCAGCCCCTTCCCTGCTTAATTCCATCATGAAAGGTTTAGACTTGGGAGGAGCTGCCACAGCGCACTAGCATTTTAAATCCCATTTCCTCTGCAGTGTGGAGACAGGAGACTTCAGGCTGGTGCTAAAACAGCGAGTTTTATTACTACATATACATGCTGTTACTATTCTGAAAGGAATGCAAAGCAGCTGTGAGAGCTTCCCGTTCTGATGTCCTGCCGCTGGGTTGGACTACGGCTCCCACGGCTGTGTTTTTGGGAAGAAGCGAGTGATATAGCCCATCACACCTGGGCAGCACCAGGGCACGGAATGCTGGCTCCGGGCCATCCTCAGCCTTGCACACTCCAGCTGTGCTGGACTGCAAATGCTGCCAGATGTTGGTGCTCCCCCTTCTGGCTAAGATCTCAAAGCCGAGGGGTGCAGAAGGACTGCTCTGGGTTCAACACAGCACTCTGGAACCTTTTGATCAGGTGCTACAGAGAGAGTCTGAAAAAAATCCACCACGTTGCTGCTAAGAATCCGATTCCGTTTTGGAACAGCCTTTTCCCACCAGCAGCAGAGGCACAGAGAAGGGCTTCTTGTAGTCCTGGAAGGTCAAGTCCACCTGGGACGGGTGAGTGGTGGGGAGGCAGGACAGACCTTGGCACTGGGCAAGGAGCGAAATGTCTGCTTGGTAACCCCGAGTCTCGCTTGAGCCTCAGAGAGCTGTGTCTGGGGGAGCCTTCAAGCACAACCGAGGCACAGCCAGGCCCAAGCTCAGCCCGTCTGAGTCGCTGCCAGTCATCCTGCCACGCGCGTGGCTAAGCCTCAGCGGCAATCAGATCTCGGGTGACCTGGAAGGCTGCGACCAGAGCCCCCAGCTGGATCTTCTCGCTTGTGCCTGCAGCAAGACGGTGCCTGAAAGGAAAAGGAACGGGATTGGTCTCCTGATCAACTGGGCTTTTAACCTCAGCAAAGGATCCTAGTTGGTGGGAGAGTCCATAGGGATAAGGCTGAGTAACAGCCCTCCTACCATGAGGATGCTGCAGGATCACACTGTACACCCAACCCCTCTTCGGACAGCCTGGAGCACTTTCCCTCCCTCGGCCCGGCTTCACCCACCCACCCTCCCACGTCCTGCAGCTACTTAATCTGCACGTGGAAGAAGGAAGAACGGAGGCACCAAATCCGGGAAAAGTGCCCAAGAAATCAGCGGCAGTGACTCTCGGCCTGCCAGAAGGGAGGCCTTGGGGAAGGAGACCTGCCTCTTGGGATACTCACTCGACCTCGGCCATCTTGATCAGCAAGTGGGTGCGAATCGATGCGGGAAAGTCCACTGTAAAGCAGGAGAGAGCATTTCTCACTTGGCACCCTTTCCTAGGGAACCCTCTCTCTCACACCCGCCTCTCTCTGGAGCAGAGAAGAGTGTGCAGAGGTCAAGATATTCTTGTTCCACAAATGTTGAACCTTTTTCAGCCCAGGGGCCAAATTCACTCTGGGAGAAGTTTTTTGAGGGGAGGGTTCCTTCCGGTCTGTGTGTGTTAGGTAAAAAGGGCATGGCAAGCCACTCCAAATACCAGTTGACGTTACGGATCTTGGGAGGGCATTTCACTGTTCAGAAACTGGGAAGAGGGGAACTGTCAGGACTCCCCGGACAAGTGGCAGTCAGGGAAAGAGAGCACCCTCAATGAGGAACTCCAAGGGCCAGATTCAACGCTCGATGCCTTACAAAGATGTCCTAAGATCCGTAGCAGATGTAAATCAATAAAGCGCCATCCCCCTCGGTAAGCCAGCTTTCTCCCTCCTCGGCTTCGACACGAAACCTGAGAATCCACACCTTAAACCCCAAAGCCCTTTTACCTCGATGGACGAACAAGTGGATTTCTGTCAGGATGTCGTGCAGAGCTAAACCCTTCAGTGTTTTCAGTTCCATGATATCTGAGCACCATGTCAAGGTGAGGCATGTTGCACTGGGTTGCTTCTGACTGAGCGCCTTTCTCCGCTTGCGTTGCTCGAGTGCCCATGGTAACCCCATGCTGCCTTCAAAGAGAAGGCCTTTTCTGCAAGCTAAAAAGCCAAGCCTAGCCTATCTGGGGAAGGAGGACTGAGACATCAGATGTCCACCAGAAATTCCAGAATCAAAGGGACCCGGAAAACAGATTCCCCCATGCATGGACCGGCTTTCTTCCTGGATGTAGTTCTTGCCTGGCAGCGAAAGCACTGGAACAGTCTGCAATTCACAAGTAAGGCTTACAGAGATGCGATCTTGGAAGGGGAGGGGGAATAAGAGGCCAGTGCAAGGTACCAAATCTTGTGGGGCCTTATCCAACAAAGTGGCAAAGGCAAGGAAGAGCTGAAGGCCCTTTGTCCCAGCCTGGCCAGGGGAGAAGGCCTAGCTGCAGCCCTGAGGAACAGGCAGCAAGCAAAGCAACTTGCAAGGCACAATTCTCTGCCCCCGGCCACCATTTCCAAGATCCTAGAGCAGGGCCCAGAAGGATACTGCGGTAGGCGGTGGTGAAGTCTTGATTCAGCATCCAGTCGAGGATGTTGGCGACGTCAGACTTGAGGGGCTGCCCGGTGCAGGTGTAGACTGTCTCTTCGGTAACCTTTCCGAAAGCCATGTACGTGCTCTGGCGGGGAAAGAGCAGGAAAGGGGGGGGGGGGGCTGCTCACTTGGAAGCACCCAGTTCCCAACACCAGCAGCCAAAGCTGTATTTAGAACTGCCCATCCGGACCTGGTACCCTCCAAATGTTACGGACAGCAACTCTCAGCATTCCTGTGCAGTGGCCATGCGAACAGCGACGGACGGGAGTGGAAGCCCAAAACGTCCGAGTGGCACCACATCAAGGCTGGTCTAGACCAAGGCAAGTGGCTCAGCGGCTAGATAAGAACATTCACCTTCCCTCTCACCCCGTCCAGTGACCTCCAGCCACCATCCCGTGCAACCCATCAGCTCCTGGTGACCCTCTCCGGCATACTGAGACAGGGCAGGTGTCTTAAAAAAGAAAGAAGCGATTCACAGATCCAGGTATATAATAATAAAGTAGGCCTTTCAGATTTGGCACCAATAGGTCTCTGAATTTCCCTAGGCTCCCCAGAAGCACTGCTGAAAAAGAGGACATACGGGGTCAGAGGAGGTTTGTTTTGATCCAGGAGAGCTCTTCTTACATCTCTCTGTTCTCCGATAGCTCAGAAGAGCAGAAACTTCACTCTAGTTGTTTGCCCTCTTTAGCATCAGCCACAGGCAGAAAAATGAAGCTGTGCTTACCTGCAAGATGTTCAGAGACCTGCGCATGTCACCGTTAGAAAGCGCCACCAGTGCTTTCATTCCATCGTCACTCACGTCCACCCTGAAGGAAAGAAGGGGGACTGAGCAGACAGCGGAGAATGCAGCGTGCGCCTGCCGGGGAGTCATCCTGGGTCGCTCCAAGATGTTCTGGACCTTAGGGGGGATTTATTTACATCTGAAAGGCCACAGGTCGGGGAAGCAGCAGCTGCATAGCGAGGAGCACAGCCAAAGGTAAGGGTCATCCAACCGTGTTTTCTACTCACTTCTCCTCCTCAATGACATGCTGCAGGCGGGGAACCATCAGCTCAGGGGTCAGGGGGCCAAAGCGGAATCTGGTGCAGCGGGACTGCAAGGCTGGGATGATCTTGGAAAGATAGTTGCAGATCAGGCAAAACCGGGTGTTCTCTGTGAATTTCTCTATCACTGGGAAGGCGACACACAGAATTGGAGGAGAGAGTTGATCCGACTTGAGGAGGATCTCGGGGCACAACAGTTACCGAATGTAATTAATCCTGGAGATTTTAGCCACATACAAGAGAAAACCGAGCCAGGATTTAACCTAGGGTTACCCAAAGCCCAACCCTGCCCTCTGAGCTGTGGAACTCACTGCCCAGGGAGTTCCTTTGGCCCCACCGTATAGATTTTGGATGGCAGGGAAAGCTCTCTTTATTTCAACTGGAATAGAGACACTAAGTGGACAATAAACAAATGCCAGTTTCCATGACGTCCAAGGAGCAAGAACCACCCTTTGAAGCAGGGATGCGCAGCTTCGGGTCCCCAACAAGCCCATGGGGGGGCCCAGAGGCCAATCTCTGCCTGCAATTGTTTAGTGGCTTCCTGGCTTTTGCAGAGTCTCCCCCGGCTCCCACAAGGCTGACATCCCTGACTACTGGCAGGAAGCGTTCCAAGTGAAAATATGCTGGTGATTATTTTTAAATATTACAGAACATCCATTATTGGAAGTATTAAAATAAATTTAGAAAAGGACAGACCAGCAACCATCTGACATGCTGCTACCTGAACACAGAAATTTTGCAATCATTGTTTTAAGAAGGAAGGGCTGAACTTTCATACTAAAAAGGTGATTTCTGGGGAATAAAACTTTGCTTTCTTTTTCCTAAAGAGGTCAAGAAAAAAATTCTCCTGTATCCATTCGCAAAGATCAGCTGGGCAGCCTCACAAAAACTGGCTCACTTGCTAAATTCTAACCCTAACATCCAAAATTAATATCAGACAAGGAAGTTCTACAGGTTGGATTCCGAGGAGGAAATATTGCTGTTTGCTTGTGGCCAGGGAGGTGAAGGGGAGAAGCGGGAGAGACTGCCTGCAATTTCAGCAATTGAGGTCTTCGTTGACATCTCATGTTAGCAAGAAGAAGTCAGTGACCGAGAAAGAGGTCAGATTTGCAGAACACACAGCAGCGGTTCTGTTCTGCAGCAAGGCAGAAGCAGCCTGGCCAACTGCTGCCCGTACGCACTGCTGCATCTTTGCTCTGTGCTCCCTGGCACAAGGAAAACTCACCACGCCGGAGGGCATTCTGGGCATCCTGTGTCATGGCATCGGCTTCATCCAGAATCACCAGCTTGAAGCCCTTCCTAACAGGAAAGAGACACAGATGGGGGAGTGAAAGGCTTGGGAACTGATGGGGAGTTTAGACAGAACCCCCACCTGTCCAGCTGAAAGAAGCAGAGTCAACCCTGGCAGGGAGATCTCTTCCTCGCAAGTGCCCCAGCCTCTGGCAGCCCAACCAGCCTCTGCAGCAGGCAACCAAGATGCTTTTCCTGGGCTGCAGTCCAAAGGGGGCAGTGGGCACATGCAGGATGATGGGGCAGGAGGGAACGTTCAAAAAGCACAGCACAGGAATATTAAAGGATTGCCCTGGCTGTATCTTCCAGAAGTAGTGTGCAGCAGAATCGGAGAACAAAGGTAGTTGTGTCTAAGACGTTAGAAGGCAAGGTGAGGGTTTACGCTTGACCAGCAGAGCAGGGGCTCTTTTTGCAAGCGTTGTCTGTGCTAGGCTATGCCACAGTGTTTATCATCATTATCATCTTATTTCTTCCTTCTGCTCCATTCCTACACTGCCCCATAGTCAAAGCAGTCTGGGCACCTTGCTACCTTTCTGTGCACCTGACCTTTCTTTTGCTGCTGCATTAAAGCCGGAGGCAGCAGTAACAAATACAGAACCGTTTCAACTGCTAGTTTGCCTTCCTGAGCAGAGGCCACGCTCCCTTGACAGTCCCAGCCTGGGCAGGCTTCAGGCTTGAGTACATTCTGATAATGTACTCAGAATTAAAGAATTTGCAGCACAGGAATTTGTTTTGAATACCAGAACTGAACAGAGCTCACTGTCCTTCCAGGCAAAGAACTGTTCCTCCTGCTAGCCTTTTCTTCAGCAGGATAATTTAGAGCTGTTGAGGGGGAAGGTCATTCTATTGCTGGTACCAGCACAGAGCTGGGAGTCTGAAATCCTTGCCCATCTAAGGCAAAGCATCCTACTGATAGACCCCTGATCTCCCTTCCGCCTGTCCTCATGCTTTCTCCGCTGAGATGGATGGTGAAAGCACCAGCTTGCCCAAAGTACATCCACGCTGCAGACACGGGCTCTCCCTGAATGAGTGTTATCTTTCCCAGCGACCCACTTGGCATCGTCCGACTCGGACCGGGTGCTTTTCAACCACCTGCTGAGCCTCGGAACCCTATTCATGTTGTGCCTTGCTGACTTTTCACAATGTGGCACAAGTAAGGTATTCTCCCCACTGCCTTTCATGGGAAGGGACCCACGGGGGCTCCCCAAACACTTACTTAAAGATGGTCCTCGTGCTGGCAAAGTTCAGGACAGGCCCTCTGACAATGTCAATGCCTCGGTCGTCAGACGCATTCAGCTGAAGAGAGGGGCAAACGGTATTAAGAAATGGCAGTCCAGATACGGGCTCAAAAGGAATTCAGTATAGGGAAAATGTTATATACAATTTATGGTTTAAATATATTTTAATATGCCCACTTTTTAATGTGCCTGCTTTATAATTGATGTGCTTTCTGTATCACGATCATATATGTGTTACAAATGACCAATGAATGGCCTACAAGTTTTGAACTAATTTGAACCTTAAGGCTTAAGCAAGGAAAACTATCCAATTGCATTTAAGGTAGGAAGCACTGGGTTTTTTGATGCACAAATCAGATCTGAATGTATATTGAAATACTTTGTAAATTGCAAGAAAGTAGATATGACTTTTTCAGAATGGGTATCTTTTTGTGAATTTATGGATTTTACTGGGGATTTAAAATTTGGTTTTAAGACACTGTTAATATTCCATGTTTCTGTCTTCTAGTTCTTTGTTACAATGATGCGATTTATACAGAATATACATGGACACACATATACACAAAAGATTCTTTTGCAAATGTTGAATAGATCTGCTTAAATGTGCCTGGACAGATGTCTTCAGAGTGGAAACAGAGAACTGGCATCTCTCCAGATGCTGCAGACTGCAATTTCCAACATCCCCGGACATGCTGACTGGGGCTGCTAGAAGATGGAATCCAGCACTTGGAAGGCCACCTCTCACCCGTAGCCTAGAGAAGAAAAAGATTGCACTCAATTACCTCTAGAACCATGGAACCAAATTCTTTGTCTTTGTACAGCTGCTTAGCACAAGCCAAAATGGTAGAAGTCTTGCCAGTTCCAGGAGGCCCATAGAGGAGGAGGTGAGGTAAGCGATCTTCACTGATGAATTTCTGAACTAGGAAGAGAAGCAACAGAATGTTCACTTCATATTCCGCTTTCCTGTGACCACCTTTGCCTACAACCTCTGCAGCTTGGCAAATAACCCATGAGCAACGCACAGTTCTGCATGCATAGATAACAACATATGATTTAAAACAGGAGCTAAGATTAAGGTTAGTTGTAAGATTCATATTTGACAAACCACATTTAATCAAAAGCAAGCATTTCGGAACACCTCACAGCTGTGGCAGAGGAAAGCAGAGAGGGAGGGCAGGCAGGGAAAATGTGTAAAACCAGGGCTCTCACGGGCCTAGTATTGTCCCACTCATCCATAGTTTATCATGACATCCCAATACAGCACTGCTTTTGTGTTCCCTCCCCAAACCGTGTTGACAAATGATGATTTCTCAAAGGCTTCAAAATGGTCAAGCAAAGATAGCACCAAAAACAGTCAATACTTACTTGTACTCAGGATATCTTGATGAGAAATCAGATCACTTAGTGTCTGAGGTCGGTATTTTTCTACCCTGCCAATAAAAGATAATATTCAGAGAGTCACACAATCATTCAATCCAGCTATTAGGCTCATTTCTGCACATGTTTTAATTTATACGTGACAGATGGAACAGACAATGGTATCTCAAAGGTAATGAGAACAGCACTGCCATATTGCACTGGAAATATTCCAAATTCCTTTCAGTTTTTGAGAAGATGAGAACAGGCCTCTCCCTGCCATCCCCAGGCACTAGGCATCGCCACAACCAGGTGCTCTGGGTTTCCCAGCCCTCACTCATGCCATGTTCTCTGGCGTAAACTCAAAAGCAGCACTCTGCAAAGGAGCTGGGAAGGCGCATGGTCCTGCATGGAGCACTTGCTTGGCAAGTTCAGCTCCTGGCACCTGCAGTGAAGAGGATCTCATCTGGCACAGTTGGGAAGGCTCCCTACCCAGGTCACTGAAGCACAGGTGGATCTTTTTCTTGTCCACCTCCAGTGAGTTAGGTGAGCAACAAGTAGAGGCAAGCCAGCATTCCTTGGCACCCCGTTTCCGGCTCAGAAAGAGCTACATGAATTTCTTCTGTGGTCAAGTTCAGCACAGCCCTCGGTTACAGTGGCCAAGGATGCTGCTTCGCCACACCTTTCCTCTGCAGTCTGGGGCTGAGGGCTCTCTCCGTCCAAAGTGTGCTTTGAGCAAAACCCAGACATAGTAATGCAACCCTTCTAGAAAATGCTGAACTGGAAAATAGGTGAATGCAAATTAACAGAAAATGTCTGATGTCCTAGAGCAGAGGTGGGCAACCTCTTTCAGCCAGAGGGACAAATCTGCTTTTGGAGAAGGTTTGGAGGGCTGAGTATTCATTATTTTTAACTGCATTAACAGGTTGCTTTTAAACACATTGTTAACCACTTTCAATACCTGCCTCAGGTATGAAGGTGAGATGACTAATAATGAATGGCCAGGAAGGTATGTAGTTGGTGTGAGCTTAAGTGGACTCTGGGGGGATGGTGGAGGACAGGAAGGCCTGGAGGAATGTTGTCCATGGGGTCGTGATGGGGTGATGGGTCGGACATGACTTCACGACTAACAAAAGGAAGGTATGTAGGCTGGAAAGAGAGCCTGACCTTGGAGGAAGACTGTCATACTGGTTTGACTGTGGTTGGCAGTAGGTTTTGGCCTCAGTTCAAGAGATCAAGGTTCCAATCCCCCACTTGCCCACAAAGCTGTTGACCAAACGGTCCATGTCCTGGGGTGTACATGCCCAAAATATACAACAGAGGAAGGTTTGTTTTTACAGGATTTATTATCAAGAATAACCAGCTACCAACGAATCATTTCGGATGAGGCACCTGAGCTGTCCTCTGTTGGCCTTTTTATACTTTGATCATTAAAGGGTTACATGCAACAGTGAACACTTTCTAATAGGTTACAGAAGTAAAAAGTTACATGACCTTTCTAGCCTGCATTCCAGGGAGCAAGAAGATTGTTCCACGGAGGAGAGGAGAGGAGAGGAGAGGGTGGCGTGAATTGCCCTTTGTTTGGGCTACTATCTGTTGTCAGCTTGGTGTCTCTGGAACGGTGCCTGGTTAGTGTCAGCTACATTTCAAGGATGCACACATGGTGATGTCTAAAGAAAAGGATTCTCTTTCTGGTCCAGCTATATGTTGATATTTGCATGATTGCATCTGTGAGGCTGCACTTACTGATTCGTGCATCAAAGCTCACTGGATGAGTTTGGGCCAGTCACTGACTCACCCACCTTGCAGGTTTATTGAGAGAATCAAACCGAAAGCAGGATTATGTGGCATAATGCTTAGAATATCGTGCAAGAGCATGGGAGATCTGGGTTCTCATCCTAGCCACAAAGCACACCCAGTGGTTTAGAGTCATTTGCTGACTGTCAGCTTGATGCACCTCATAGGGGCGTTGTGAGGCTCAAAGGGAGGAGGCAGAGCAGGACTGGAGACGCCTCCTTGGTTTCCTTGCAAAGAGGAAAACGGCGGGCGATCCCTGACATCCGGTGATCCCTGCATCAGTAATTGCCATTAATAAAGACGACAGGGCCAGCGAGCGAACGCAGGTGAGTTGAGAGCATAGCTGCACTCTGCACGTGCCTCGGCGCCACTGGCACAGTGCGTGCCCGGAGCAAGCCTCGTGGAGAAAGCATGCCGGGGCCCAACATGGAAGCCCGAGCTCCAGAAGCGGGACGAACGAACGAGCGGAGCTACCCGTGCGCGCCCGCCCCGTATCCTAGCAACGGCGCCCCCTCCCCTCCTTCCCCTCCTTCTCCTCCCTTACCAAGGTAAGTTCTTACTCCTCCCGGCCACCGTCCGCTCCTCGGCAGCCGTTCCCGCCGCGCGCTCCATAATGACCGCTTTGAAACCCCGCGCAGGCGCGTTCCCTCCCTCCCGCCTCCCGCGGCACCTCCTTTTTCCATGGCCGCCCCTCGCGCCTCTCGCGAGGCCTCGAGCGCGACGTCCGTGCCCCCTCCCCGCCGCCTGCTCCGTGGCCCCGCCCCCTCCCGAGGGCTCTCCGCCCTCGTGCTGCGTTGCTAGGGGCTCCGCGGCAGCCTCCGGTTGCCAAGGGGCGAGGCGCGCTTGCTGCAACCTTGCGGGGAAAGCAGGTGCCTCCCTGCAAGGGCGCGCTCGCCTGCGATTCACGGCACAGGCGATTCCCCTCCTCTCCCTCCGTGTCTTCCTCTAAAACGCGCATAATGGTCTCCCCAGCCATGACGGGAAGAGATAATCAAATGCAGATTTTGCCGTGTGTGTTTGCTTATCCAGATCACGCGAAGCCGAGGATGACTTCACACGTGGCCGCTTCTCTATTTGGTGAAACCGAAGGCACAATCCTATGCAGGAGTAAGAGACAAAAGCCCTCCAACTCCCAGCATGCCCCAGGTTGGGGCATGCTGGGAGTTGGAGGGCTTTTGTCTCTCAAGCTGCATTGGATGGTACCAGAAAAGATATAGCATGTGCACATATATGCACACTGGTTTGTAATACAATGCTTGAAGGCTATTTTTTATTATATTTATTATTAAAGGTGCCATCCCATGCTGGTTTGGAAAAAAGCCTTGTTACTCCCAGCCTGCCCCAGCCACCCCACACATATACTCCCAGTGATTTTTAATACAGTCTGAGGAGGCTATTATATTATTGCTCATAATGATAATGTAACGTGCTCTACGTGGGGCTGCCCTTGAAGACGGTCCAGATACTTCAATTGGTTCAGAACAGACGTTGTTCAGTCAGGTTGTTAACAGGGACTGGCAGGTATGTACACATAAAACTGGTCCTTTACCACCTACACTGGCTTCCAGTTGAAGCCTGGGCCCAATTTAAGATGCTGGTGATGACCTATAAAGCCCTAAATGGCTTAGGACCTGGTTACCTGAAGGAGTATCTCCTTCTATATGTGCCTGCCCACCCCTTAAGATCTGGGGTGGAGGTCCATCTTCGGGAGCCCTCCATGAAGGAGACCAGGAGGGCGGCTACCCGGAGAAGAGCCTTCTCTGTGGTGGCACCCCAGTTCTGGAACATGCTCCCCAGAGAGGTTCAGCTGGCATTGTCACTTTATTCTTTTCTGCACCAGGCCAAAACCTTTCTCCAATTTTTGAGGTATGATTGTCATTTTAATATGGGTTTTATCACTGGAGACTAATTGGGATGCTGCATTTTATTTTATTTTGTTTGGTCCTGCTTTGCTGTCAAACCATCCTGAGACTTCAGTGGTGGATAGTATTAAAAAGTCTTAAATAAAATAATAAATACGAAATGCCTATGCAGCTTTAGATAGCTAAAAACTCTATAGCTCCCAGCATGCCTCAGGTAGCCAAGCCACAGAAAGCCTGCCTGCCTGGGGCATACTGGGAGTTGTGGGGTGTTTTTTCTGTCGAAACCTGCATTGGATGGCATCAAAAAAGATAACGCGTGTACACATATACTCACAGGGCTTCTTAATGTGATGCCAAATCTTTGACTTCTCTACTAGGCTTATCAATACATGGGAAACGAAGGAAAAACAGGGGTTTCCTCATGTGCTCCTAGGAGGTTTGAACTGCCAAAATTCTGCAGGGAGAACTGATAGGGTGGAGTGAAGCCAGTGCTTGATACACGGAGGTGGAGGGAAGGAGGCAGGAGGTTGTACTAAGAGCCAGAATCTGGTTTCCTGGACTAACCTCGTGTTAGCCAAATCATACCCTTACTCAAAGTATTTGGAAAAAATTAATTATGGGCAGGGGAAGCTAGCGACTTCTCTCTCAGTGGGGCTGCTTATCCAATGCCACTTTTATTCTGAACTTTCTAGAAGCTCTCCGTGGAACTCCATAGTGACACACCTCCTTGGGACAAGAGGTTCAGCACCATGGAGAGTTCCTATAAAGAGTTCAGCACCCTGGAGAGTTCCCGGAAACAGTTCAGCACCACGGAGAGTACCTATCTTCTGAGCCGCCCAAAGAGCCGCAGGGCTATGGAGCTGCATACAAATACAATCGATCGATCGATCAATCAATCTCAGAATGAAAGCTGCAATGGATCAGGGGCCCCACTGAGACAGGATTCAACAGCCTGCCTTGATTATGGGGACCATGTGTTCCCCTCCTTCCGCAGTGAACAAAACGGGACAGAGAAGTTCTTGGAGGCCACATTCCAAAGCCAAAGAGTGTGGAGCCAATTATTCCAGGGTAAATAATGCTCAGCTTTAGTGAGGGATTTCAGCCTCCTAGAAAAGCTAAGCAGGCCTGTCATGGATAGGGCATTTTGGGGGCTTTCATACATAAGGTCACCAAAAGTCAGACGACTTGATGGCAAATAACAACACAGATGCCTCTGCCATGGCACAGTAATTAACCTACATTGTGCAATTGAGAAGCAAGCCAAATATGTCTTCTGCCTATTCAAGCCACAAGAAATGGAGTGAAGGCTCCATTGTAGCTTTAAAAGGAGAATAAATATCATCTGGGTTTATAAATGAAGAAACCAAACACTTTTTTTTAAAGCAGTCCTAGTGGTGTGGACTGGTTTTAATTACTGGTTGTTAAACCATTTAATGTAATTTTACAATGTTTTTCCTGTTGTTGTATTTTATATTGTCTTTCATTGTCTTTATTGTATTGTTGTTTGCTGCCCTGAGAACTTTGACTATTGGGCAACATAGAAACTATTAATTAAACAAAGAACAGCATGAATAAGAATAGCATACTGCAAACACGGGCTTACAGGAGGTTTTTTCCCCTCTCTCCTTTGGACAGAAAGGAGTGCAGCACCCCTGCTTTAAGACAGCAGCCCTTCTAGGTACACCCACTAGAGAGATTCATAGGATGCCAGTATTTTCAGTGGGACTTACTTCCAAGAAAAATGAACAAGGATGACAGTGATGACATCAAGAGCCAGTGTGGTGACTGGGGACTTGGGAGATTCAGGTTCTGCTCCCAAGCCAACCATGAGGCTCACCGGTGAATTTGAGCCAGTCCCTGCCTCTCAGCCTAACCCACCTCACAGGGTTGTTGTGAGGAACAAATGGAATGGCGGAGAATTATGTAGGCTACCTCAGGTTCCTTGCAGAAGGGAAAAAGGCTGGAAATACATTCAATGAATAGTAGTAGTAGTAGTCCGGCGATTCTGCTCAAGAGAATGAGCAAGTAAGCCCCAGAATTAAGCAGGGTTATCTTATGGCATTTATTGGCATCATCATCTACTGTGTGTGTTTGTATAGTGGAGGAGTATGGGAAGTTAGACCATTACATCCGAAGTCTGAAATTCCCTAACTTCATAGGGTTGCTATATCTATATCTATATATATAACAAAAGGGCCACTTACATTTTGCCAAAAAAAGTGGGGAGAGGACATATTCAAAAGGATAACAAAAAGGAGATATAGATTTGTATAAGCTTTGCAAATATAATTTATAATCCATCTCACCTTAGTGGGAAAGATTCTGGCTAGGTGATCTGTGTGCCAGGTGTTCGTTACTGCAGAGGAATGACTTCAAATCCCCCCTTTCCCATATCTCACAGTGCTTTATTTTCAAACCGGTTGTGGCCTGCACAGCCCTTCCAAGAAAGCCTGCCTACAGAGCAAGGGTACTTTTAAAATATAGGACTGGCCCCCACAAAGTAGAACACACAACCTTCTCATGCGGCCTACTTAACAGAGGACAGTCCCCTGTTGAAGAACAGTCCTCAGTTTAAAGGGCTGTCCAGCCCTAGTCTGGTTTGAATTGATGGAAGGAGAGAGAGCCAAGGAGTCTTTTCCAGTGTGGGGAGATGCACTGTATTTCTGTCTAGCCATTTCTAAATTTGCAACACAGATACAATTTAGCATACGCAAATCTGCATCCAGGTTTTTTGGTGATGCATCCCCTCCCCCTTTCTTTTTTCTTTTGTGATACAACAGTAGCTTCCTTTACCTGGCTCACTGCGACCACACTATTCATTTCACTGTGAATCCACATGTTACTGCCTGCCCTTCCAGGTTCCCAGCTGACTGGGAAAAATAGCCTGTTTTGTTCTTTCCCTTTTAACAGAGGTTTGATCTGCACGAACCAGCGGGTGAAGCTTTTCCTGTCAGAGAGCTCAATGTTTTCACCTTCTAATCGCTGCAGATCAAACTGCTGGTGAGCAGAATAGACACCAAGGGCTGGTTCAAATATGGCCAAGTCTGTTCCCACCATCCTGACTTGAACCACTGCCTGCTAACTGAATAATGTGCAACAAAACCTGGCTGCCCGAAAGCCACACTTTTTAAAAAGAAAAATTCAAATCTTTCTGCTTCAGAGCATTGATCCATTGCCTTTTAAAGACAAGAGACATCTCATAACATTTGGAAGAGAAGGTGGAGTGCTGAAGAACAGAAAAGGGATGCTAAAAGCAATGAAGCCAGTTAAAATCAAAATTAAAACATAAGAGATATATGTCACCATTACAGCCACTAACTAGAACAACAGAAAATAAATAGCGAATTTCAAGACTGTCCTTGGAAGTATTCAGAGAAAAGAAATGTCTTTGGCACTGAAATGAAGACAAAGTTGCACCAGGCAAATTTTTGGGGGGAACCTGTTGAAGGGCAGCTACCGAGAAGGGCCTTCTATTTACCGCTCCCTTTACCTTCTTAAGGGACTTCCTGCCCATAACAGAATGGGTGGGTAGGCATATATGGAAACAGATTAGGTAGCCAGGTCCTAAGCCAGGTCGTGCATTCTCCATCAACCTCTCCCAATCTCACGTCTAGAATTTATATTTGGGTGGTGCCAATATGACTAGTATCAGAGACGCACTCACCAAACAACAAACAAACCCACAGATGAGATTTGCTGATGCTAATTTATATATTCTCCCAAATGTGTGGACATTTAAAGGACCCTGTC